TGCATGATCACACCCTGGAGACCAAAGCAGAACTAGCTCTTTCCAGTGTGATTGGGACACGAAGGCAAGATGCCCGCAAGAACACAGGCTCAGTCTGACCTGGTCTGGGGATTTTCTCTGACTCCAAATCCTGTGTTCTCTCCACTTTTCAAGGTCCCTTGAGGCCGCGAGCCCTGGGAAGTGGGTCAGGGAGATGGGGGTTCAGCGTCCCTCTCCCCCCAGCTTGCTGTTCCCTTCCCCCCACCTCTCTGGCAGCCTCCAAGGCCAGCTGTGGCGACTACAGAAGGGGCCACAGGTCCTGCCAGGGGGCAGTGGAACACGGCTCCCCCCTGGTCTGGGGCTCCCATAGTTGTTCAAAGCTCTGGGTGTCTCCAGGGGTGGAGCAGAATCTGGGGTCACTAGGCTTCCTGTAGGCTCCTCTCGGGCAGACAAGCTAGCCCTTCCTCAGGGACGTCTCAAAGTCAAAATTTAAACAGTTCTCTGGGGACACTCCTTCTCCTGGGTGGTGGTATTTTGGGGAGCGGATGTGAACTTCCCCAAGGGGGAGAGATGTAGGCTCCCAGCGTCCGGCCCTTTGCCCTTCCCCCTGCCCCCCGCTCGCTCCGTTCTCCAAATTTAGGATGGGAGGAAGAAGTGGGAAGACGTTTGGGTCCTCAGAGGCCAGAGAGCAGAGACCCAGGACCGGAAGCGAGACAATCCTTTACCACAGCTGACAGGAGCCCCCAGCCCTGCCCGAGGCTGAAATCCTGGCTGGATCATCCTCCGCTCCCCTCCGTCAGAGGTCGCTGGGCCCTGGGAGGCAGTGCTCAGGGACTCCCCACGCCGTCTGGCTCTCTGCCCAAACTCCACCCGACTCCCACCCGCAACTCAGCTCCCCCTCCGTTTCCCAAAGCAGAGACTGAATCACCTCCACCAGCCCTCGCTGGGAAAGGCCTGGAGAACTGATTCAGGGCTTCCGGAGAGCCCCCAAGGTCCCCTGCCCCAGCCCCTCCCCGGCCCACAGCAGCCTGAGCATTTATGGTAATGTTTGGATTGGGGCGAGCTCGGCGAACGCCCCGCCTCCCCCGGGCAGGACCTGGGATCCCCTGGGCTGAGGCCCTGCGTACTGCAGGCCAGCCCACGTGGAGAGGACCCTGGGGTCGGAGAGGACTGGAGGGGATAGTCCAGGCCCGAGGGACGGCTCAACAGGCCTGGAGACTAGGACCGGAGGAAAGGGTCCCCCTCTGCACACCGCACTCACTGCGAACCCTCCCTCTGGTTTATGGGTCTCTAATCCCCAGGAAGAGTCCCCCTGCGGCCACATCCTCTTTTCCCTCTCTCCCCCACCCCCTTAGCAGGGAAGGGGCTGAGAGGAGAGGCCGGCAGCTCCCAGGGGAGTTGCTGGAATGCTGGGAGCCTGGGAACGGACCCTGCAGTGTCCCTGGGAAAGCCAGGCTGTGGGAATCCCACCCACAGCCCCCTCCCCAGAATGCGACACCGGATGCCAGAGACAGATCCCACCTCCCCAAGAGGGGGCTTCTGTGAGAGTGGGAAAACCCCCCTGTCCCAGCCCCAGCCTGGTTCGACCCCGGAGTTCAGTAGGCCAGCTGTGATGGAGACGCCCCCTCCCGCGCCCTCCTCTCCCCCGCCGGCTCCGATATAATCCCAGTCATTGTGCCACCACCTCCCCTCCCCCGCCCCTTCTCTGGACCCCTGTACAATGGGGCCTTTGCCTCCTCCAGCACTCAGGGTGGAGATGAACTCACTGACGGTTTCTCCAAGTTTAAAAATAGCCCCTCCCATCTCCCCCCACCCCACCCACCACCACCAGCACAAGCCACCCTCCTCCTCTTCCACGGCGTTTCTGGGGTGCAGCTCAATCCAGGCCGCAGCTCCTTCCTGCCTGGAGTCAGGTGCGAAGGACATGGGTGAGACCACGTCCGGCCAAGACAGGGGCCGCTTCCCCCTATTCAATCTCTTCCCCAACATTTCCCACCCAGCCCCCCAGTATCCGGTTTCCTGGCCCGAGGTTGTCTCAGCAGCAACTGCCCCCCACCCGCCTCCTACCCCGTTTCTTCAGTCCCTAAGCACAGTCTCCTCCCAGCTCAGACCCTCCGACACTGGAAAAAATTCTCCTACCTCCCCTCCAAAGACTCAGACTGAACCCTATTTTTAGGCCAGGCCGGGAAGGGGGGATTCCCCAGCCTCAGTCATTGCCAATATTGCTGGCCCACCCCCTCCACCCCATGGCTCCTTCTCACTGCAGATGCAAACTTGTCTTTATCAGCTTCCTTCATCTGCTCAGCCCGCCCTTCTCATATCCTCCTGGTTAAGGCCCTTCCACCAGAGAGGGTGGGTGGGAGACCACTGTAGCCACTATGAGAGAGGACTCCTGGGTTTAATCTCACCCCAGCAGGACTAGCCCCCGGGGCAGGACTAGCCTTGTCTTTTTACCTCCAGCTCCATATGGGGGGTGGGAGGGTCCCACATCGTACAATGAAATGAAAGCCCTCACCCTGGAGACAGCGGTTGAGGAACTCAGACCGTGGCCACCACCCCACGCCACCACCCCACGCAGCCTCAGTTTCCCTACCTGTGGTCAGATTTATGCCCAAGAGACACACCAAGGGCCTTCTGCGCCCCCTGGGTCTGCCATGGGAGTGAAGAAGGCAGCCTTCCTATCCATTCCTTCTGGAGAGAAATGAGGCTGGGAACTTAGGGCTCTGGTCTGGGGCTCTGCTGATCCTGGCCTGCATCTGGGCAAGGCTGCCTCCACCGAGTCCAGGCACAACAGTGTCTGCAGATGGAAAGCCCACAGTGGCCTCCTTGGCTCTCCCCTTCTGCTGGACCTCCATCCTCTCTCGCTGAAAGTTCTTCCCCATCTGTTTCCTCTCTTTCCTGCAGCTGTGGACGCTCTAGCTTTTGGCATCTCAGAGACACGGAGATCCCCATCTCAGATACCCTCCGCCTCCTGCTCCTTCACCCTGTGCTGCCATCATTCTGCTTACTTCTGCTTCCAGTCCCCTCTGAAGCCTCTCCAAGGACTTGACCTCTTTGGTTTGAATCCTAGTGGGCCCTGCTCATGAAGCCTTCTCGAGGTTGTCTGCCCCCTGACTTCTACCACCCACTCCCTGGCAACCCAGATCACCCTAAGCTACTGGCTTCCCTAAAGGACAGTCTCTGTGCTAGTTTGGTGGGGACATGTGGGACACAGAGGTCACCCTGGGCTCTACCCTCACTTCTCTTTCACCGCAGAGGCAGCTCCACCACCCCCTCCTAGCTTCACTCTTCTCACAACGGAAGAAGGATTCTGAACTGACCGTCCTTGGTGGTTAGCTGGCTTTGCTCTCAGGCTGGAGAGAGAATGATTAGTTAATGGTGTTAAGAGAAGGGAAGGGGGGTGGGGGCAGGGAAGCAGAATACCATGCCCAGCTCTGAGCTTGCCAGGGCAAACAGCATCCTTCAGCCATTCCCACTCCTGCCCCTGCAGACAAAAACAAATGCATCCATTCCATTCTGGGCCCTGGGCCAGTCCATACATTGACTCTGGGGGATGAGGAAGCACCATCCTTCTCTCACCCCCCACCCCCACCCCAGGCTCCAGGCCCCTGGCTTGGCCTGCCTGGCATGGCCTCTGGCTGAAAATTAATGGAGATGGAGGAGGGGATCAGCAAGGATCTGAAAGATGAGGGCTGATGTGGCTCAAGAGTCATCTCGGCGTCATCAAAACGCCGTCCTGGAGCATCCTCTAAGTCACCTGCCCATCTCTAGCATTTGCTGCCTCACCCTGCTCCTCCCCCAACCAGCGGCAAGGCTGCCCTGCCTAGGACAGGACTCTATCCCAAATCCAGGCCCCCTTTAGACCTTCCCAGTTAGATGGGTCCCAGCTGATGTGGAACCCTTTCCCAGGGTCAGGGAGCTGGGGGTCTGTCTCCATGAGATAAGAATCAGTCTCACTCCCCAGAGCCTCAGTTCAGGTTCAAGGGGCCCAAAGACCCAGGAATTGGGAATAAGGGGAGATGCAGGTCCCCTTGCCTCGCTGGGACAGATTTCACTTGGGCAGGGCAGCCTGGAGTCAATTCTGATTCCTCCTCCAAAACCCCCACCCTCAGCTGCTGGGGGGCCAGAGCCCTGACACAGGGGGTCTCTTCAACCCTCAGCAACAGCAACAGGTAAGGGGGGGGAGCAAGCTGGAGACCTTGTGCCCATTAACTCATTTTCCCCCTTCTTTCTTCATTCAGGGGAAACTGCGTCCCGGGCTGGGTTCAGTGAGTGAAGCCAGCAGAAGCAGAAATCTCAAGATCCGGGCTGGGTGGGACAAGTGTGACAACTTCGGACCTGTGAATTCAGCCCCTCCCGGCTTCCTCTGGTCTGTGGTCTGAGACTTGCAGGAGCTGAGGGTGAAGGGACCACCCTTAGAGCACCGTCTCCCCAGTACAGATGCTTCTGGGTCTGTGGGCCCCGGGCCCAGGGTTCTTCCCTCAAAGCAGCCAGGACTGCAAGGCTTGGGGGCAGTGCCAGGCCGGCGGCCGCCGCAATGGTGCAACCGTTCTGGGAAGCCCTATTTCTCTGGGGCAGAGGTCCGGGGGAGTGGAGGAGGCGGCGGGCAGAAGAGCTTAAAAGGGAGCGAGGCCCCCATCAAGGACACCAACGACCTGCCAGTGGCTCCTCCGCCGGGAGGTCCCCCAGGGCTACACGGGCTGACTGGGGCGAAGCGGGGTCTGACCCGGCGGGACTCCAGCATCCGGGCCAGCTTCTCTCCGCAGCCGCCTCGGAGACACCTGTCACCGCCCCCTGTCCGCTCCCTAGCGGGGGGCTGGGAGGAAGGCTCCGGCCTAACCCCGCGCCGCGCTATTCCGCGGCGCAGCTCCGGGCATCTCGGCGCCGGGCCCGCCCCCTAGGGCTGCAGCGCGCCGGGCGGGGGGTGGGCTGCGCGGGGCGTGGCGGGCGGCCCGGGCGCCCGGGCCCCCTCCCCCGCCCCCCTGACGTCAGCCCCTGGCGGCCGCGAGCTCCCTCACTTGGCTCTAGCCCTCCGGCCGGGAAGCATGGGACGGTCCGGGCTCATCTGCGCTTTCCTGCTCGCCGTCTGCTGCTGCTCTCGCCGCGCCGCGGGTGAGTGAGCTCGCTGGGTCCACGCACCCCGAACGGCCCGGCCGGGCGGTCTTCGGCGGAGCGTGCCCGGGAGCAGAGCCCGCATCCCGGTGGAGGCCGGGGCTTTGCGCGGCGGCGTGCGTTCCTCCTCTCGGGGTCCCCGGCACCCGGCGCCTTGCGCGCGTACAACTCTTCTTTGTGGCCAGTTTGCGGTCTCTGTTCCAGACCATCCCGGGAGCAGAACTGGGGAGACGGGGAGGGGGCTTCTGCCTGGAGCGGGAAGGGGTGGAGCAGAGTCCCTTCGGGCGCTGGGGAGAGCTTTTCTTCAGGTGCGTTCTCGGGGGCGGGGAGCGTGATTGGAGCCTTGGCGGGAGGGGCAGCTACAGCGCATCCCCAAATCCTGAATTCCGCGCCCGCCTGTTGCTGGAAAACGCAGCTTTCTTAGCTGGAGGGGTGCACCGACCCCTCCCTGTCCCGCCCGGGCTTCGAGCCAGGCCAGAGGTGAGCGAGAGGGGGAGGTGCGGCGGCTCCCGCCCTGCCAGGGCGTTGGCAAAGGCTGGAGCGCCGTGTGGGTCCCCTCGCGCCTACCCGGGTGACGGGGTCACAGGTGGCAGGGAATGGGGATCGCCGAGTCCCAGAGTGCGAGCGCCCCAGGCTTGTTACATCTCCCGGAATGGGACCAGATTCAGGTGGGAAAAGGGCCCCTGCACCTCGGAGTTTTTCTCTGAAACCGCCCAGGAGCCGGGCGCTCCCGGGCTCACCCTGCCCTTGTATGGCCGCAGTGGTGTCGCTCCTTTCTCTTGGCTCTGTTTCCCGGGTTCTAGCCGCTGGCTGGCTGGGGAAAAGGAGGTCTGGGCAATACCCAATGCCATGGCTTCGTGCCCATGCCAACAGTATCCCTGGGGTACTCTCGGTTGCTGCCTTCAAAGCCTTTCTGGGGGATGTAGGGGAAAGGGCTGCGTGGGGCACCAGTGCTGCAGGAGGTCCAGCCCCACCCTGCCCCGTTCTTCTAGCACTGGGGAAACTGAGTCAGGGAGCTGAGGCTTTTTGCTCTGGGCTGAAGACCACCCCATCTGCCCTCATTGTCTGGGAGCCAGCTCAGGGCAACCACCCAGGCACCCGAGTCCAACCAGATGGTATGGAGTGACATCACCTCCTTGTGGGGCGGGCAGGACACTGGCACCGCTGACGTCACTCTTGCCCACTGCCTGGCCCTTGCCCTGACCCCTGCCCCCGACCCCAGGGAGAGATTCTGGCCCCTCCATGACTCTGACCGCTCCTGTACTCACAAGACTCCCAGGATGGGGTCCCCTGAGAGTGTGAGAATTCACAGAGGTGCTGCTTACAGAGTAGGAAATATGGGTCTCCTGACCAGGGTTGCCCATTGGGGTCTTATGGGGGGGGCGTTGGGGGGCAAAGGGTAGAGTAGTGATGTCTTACCCGGGTGTGGGGACAAAAAGGGCCTGTGTGCCCCGGCCTGGCACATGCCTTGCATTCCCGCACTCTGAGCTCACCCAGGGAGGAGGGGGCCTGGAAGGAAAGGGGCCTTCCTTTTGGCCCACCCTCTGCTAGCCTCATCTGAGAGTTCCTGGTGCTCAGGGTCTCTGCTCCAATGACCAGAAATGTCCAGCCCCAGCTCCCTTGAGCCAGGAGAGGGCTGGCCCGGGGTTGAGGGGAGTCATACAGAGTGGTTGAGGCTTAGAGAGGACAGCGTGCCCTTCGGACCCTCACTGAAGTGGTAGAGAGAACAGCTGCTGTGAGCGGGTGTGAGCGAAGGGCATGGTGAGCAGCCGGAGCTCACACAGCTGCTGGTGCCCCCTCCCGCCTCCCCCCAGGTGTGCCCGGAGAGGCCGAGCAGCCGGAGCCCGAGCTGGTGGAGGTGGAAGTGGGCCACACGGCCCTTCTGAAGTGTGGCCTCTCCCATGCCCAGGGCAACCTCAGCCACGTGGACTGGTTTTCTGTGAGTGCAGCAGAGGGCAGCAGGGGCGGGAGGCCCTGCCCTTCGTGTAGCCCCAGGACTCTCACCCCCGCCCTGCTGCCTCCACTCAGGTCCACAAGGAGAAGCGGACGCTCATCTTCCGTGTGCGTCAGGGTCAGGGCCAGAGCGAGCCTGGGGAGTACCAAAACCGGCTCAGCCTCCAGGACAAAGGGACTGCTCTGGCCCTGACCGGCATCACGCCCCACGATGACCGCATCTTCACGTGCCAAGGCAGGCGCCGGGCTCAGGAGCACCGCATCCGGCTCCGCGTCTACAGTGAGTGCCCCGTCCGCATCCTGTGGGCAGCGTGGGGCCCGGAAAGCAGTGGTCCCACACGCCTCCCCACCTCTCTCCCTTGTAGAAGCTCCGGAGGAGCCAAGCATCCAGGTCAATACCTTGGGCATTTCTGTGAACAGTGAGGAGCCTGTGGAGGTGAGGTCTGCTGGGGTGGCCCGGTGTTGGGGGAGGCGGGTTGGCAGGAACTAAGAGGGGGCAGCTCGGCCAGGTCAGAGTCAGGAAGCCTCATGCCCTGTCCTCCCTAGGTTGCCACCTGCATCGGAAGGAATGGGTACCCTGTTCCTCAAGTCACCTGGTACAAGAACGGCCAGTCACTGAAGGAGGAGAAGAATCGTAAGTCATCCTCTCTGCCCTTAGAAGCCATGCTTGTGGCACTATATGGGGACCGCTTTGCACTTTTACTTTGTTTTTTTGACTGCACTGTGAGGCATGCCGGATCTTAGTTCCCCAACCAGGAATGAAACCCATGACCCCTGCCTTGGGATCGCAGAGTCTTTAATCACTGGACCACCAGGGAAGTCACTATTGTACCTTTTTTTTTAAGTACGCAAGCCATCCATGAAAATATTATCATTAGAGTTCAAACTGTACAGAAAATCTAGAAAGAAAATTTCCTTCCTGCCCCAGACCCTTCTCCCAGAAATATCTCTGCTGTCAGTGTGTATGTATTCTTTCAAGACTATTTCTAGGTCCTTACTCACACATGTAAATATATCTAGGACTATATAGGGTTTTGTTTTTTATTACTTAAATCAGTGGCTCTCTTCTAAGGCTGATCTTGCTCTCCTCTGGGACACTTGGCAGTGTCTGGAAATATTTTTGGTTGCATACGGAGAGATGCAACTGGCATTTGGGGAGGGGGGCGCGCAGTGAGGCCAAGGATGCTGTAAACATCCCGCAGGGCACAGAGTACTTCTGGCTTCAATCTCAGTAGTGCTGAGGTGGAGAAACCCTGATCTGAATGGCATGGCCTGCCCTACACTTTGTTTTCCTTTTGACAACAAATCCTGGAAATCTTGCTGGATCGCTCTATTTAGATCTACCTGATTGTTTACCTACTGCCCAGCACTTCACATGGCTGAGCTATAATGTAATATATAATATAGCTATAATATGATCTAGCTAACCATTCATTCTGGTTAGTAGACGTCCAGAGTATTTTCTCTTTACTTTTAAATCACTGTAGTATTATTTGCACACACCCTTGTATGAGTGCCCACATGTGTTTGGGGTAGATAGCAAGCAGTAAATAGCTGGGTTGAAGGGTTGCAGGTGGCATTTGTAATGATCCACGGCCTCTACAGGGTCTCCCCACCATTCCTTCCCCAACCCAGGATACCACAGGGTGGGGATGTAGGCAGAGCGGAGACCCACCGAACCCTTCTCCCCTTCCTCCCTGACCAGGGGTCCACATCCAGTCATTCCAGACAGAGGAGTCGAGTGGTCTGTTTACCTTGCGCAGCGTTCTGCAGGCACAGGTGTCCAAGGAGGACAAAGATGCTCAGTTTTACTGTGAGCTCAGCTACCGGCTGCCCAGTGGGAACCACATGAAAGAATCTAAGGAGGTCACCGTCCCTGTTTTCTGTGAGTACCGACCCTTCACAGTGGGGCTGGGTCTTGCGCGCTTCTGCCTGCCCGGCACAGAGGCCAATCTTGGGCTGAGAACCGTCCCCTTTGCCTGTACAGACCCAGCAGAGAGAGTATGGTTGGAAGTGGAGCCTGAGGGGTTGCTGAAGGAGGGGGACCGTGTGGAAATCAGGTGTTTGGCTGATGGCAACCCCCAGCCCCACTTCAGCATCATCAAGCAGGTGCGGGACCCTCTGTTCTGGGTGGAGGTGGGCATGCAAGAGTGGCTGGAGGTCTGCTCTGATCACACCTTCATCCTCTCCCAGAACCTCAATACCAGGGAGACGGAGGAAGAGAGGACGGATGACAACGGGGTCCTGGTCTTGGATCCCGCCCAGAAGGAGCATAGTGGCCACTATGAATGTCAGGGCCTGGACTTGGAGAGCACGGCATCGCTGCAGAGCGACCGACAGGAGCTGGTGGTGAACTGTGAGGGGCTGGGGGCCCAGGACAGGGGGACCAGGCTGGGGCAAGAGGGAATCCAACCCGCCCTGTCCTGCCTGACCCCACTGCTGCACCCCCAGATGTGTCTGATGTCCGGGTGAGCCCCGCAGCCCCCGAGAGCCAGGAGGGCAGCAGCCTCACCCTGAACTGTGAGGCCGAGAGCAACCAGGACCTTCAGTTCCAGTGGCTGAGAGAAAAGGTACCCAGGTGGACCCAGGGCTCTGGGGGCATGGGTGGGCCTGGGAGTGACCTCTGACCCATCTCTCATCTCAGACAGGCAAGTTACTGGCAAAGGGGCAGATGCTCCAGTTACACAAACTGAAACGGGAGGAAGGGGGAGGCTACCGCTGCCTGGCCTCTGTGCCCAGCGTTCCCGGCCTGAACCGCTCCCAGCTGGTCAACGTGGCCGTTTTTGGTGAGGCCCTTGAGTTGGTCGGTGTTTTCAAGCTCTCTGGGGGCCAGAAATCACCTGCTGCCCTGGGGCACTCTGGTGCGGGGAGGGGATGGCGGGCTGGCAGAGTGTGCTGTCTCGACCCGCCCTGCCCTCACGCAGGGCCCCCGTGGATGGCATTAAGGGAAAAGAAGATGTGGGTGAAGGAGAACTCGGTGCTGAATCTGTCCTGTGAAGCCTCGGGGCACCCTCGGCCCAGCATCGTGTGGAGCGTCCACGGCACGGTGAGCGGGCGCATGGCAACCTCCCAGGCGCCGGGCCATCCCCTTGCAGGTTCTGCTGCCACCACCCGACACCCTCCCACCCCTGAGCGACACCCTCCCACCCCTGAGCCGCGCCTCCTTCCTTGTAGGCAAGTGAGCAAGACCAGGAGCCTCAGAGTGTCCTGAGTGTCCTGAACGTCTTGGTAACCCCAGAGCTGTTGGAGACAGGCGCTGAGTGCGTGGCCTCCAACTCCCTGGGCAGAAACACCACCATCATTTTCCTGGAGCTGGGTAAGGGCTGGGTCCTCCTGCAGAGGGGGCGGGGACCAGCCCACGTCGGGCTCATTCCTCTCCCACCCCTGACCCCAATCCATTTCATGTCTTCTACCCCAGACTCCAACAGAACCACCAACCTCAGCACCTCCACCATCAGCCCCCCTGCCAGAGCCAACGGCACCTCAACAGGTGAGCTAGGCTGGACCGGGCATCCTCATTCTGCCCTGCCCAGCCCAGGGGAGACTTGGGCAGCTGCCCACCTTCCATCAGCCCTGGACTGGGCAGGGCAGTGATGGTAACGTGACAGCTTGGGGCAGGGAGTGACTCCGAGTGTCTTTGTGGAACAGAGAAGAAGCTGACAGAGCCCGAAAGCAAGGGTGTGGTCATCGTGGCTGTGACCGTGTGTGTCCTGGTCCTGGCCTTGCTGGGCGCTGTCCTCTATTTCTTCTACAAGAAGGGCAAGCTGCCATGTGGACGGTCAGGCAAACAAGAGATGTAAGCACGATACCTGGCATCTTGCACACCCACCCCCCCCCCATCTCATGCTGCCAGCTTGCTGCCTCCTCGGGGACGTTCCCCTGCCAGCCCCCGGCCCACTAGCCCGTTAGGAGCAGGAGCAGGACACCTGCTTTCCCACCACTACCCAGCTCCTTCCACAACACCGCTTCCCTTCTTCCCTGTTGCCCTTCCCTGAGCTGGCCCAGAACACCCAAGGGCCCATCATCACCCAGTGCCCTGTCCCTCCTGACAGCCCCCCTTCCCGTGCCCTCAAGTTGCCAACCTCTTGCCTCCCTCCCTCCTCCCAGCACGCTGCCCCCGTCTCGTAAGAGCGAATTTGTAGTTGAAGTTAAGTCAGATAAGCTCCCAGAAGAGATGGGCCTCCTTCAGGGCAGCAACGGTGACAAGAGGGCTCCAGGAGACCAGGTAGGAGGCAGTTCCCGTGGCCAGAGCCTGACAGTCTTCAGGGATTGGGAGCAGCAGGGGCTGACGGTTGCTGAATACTAACTCTGTCCTTCATCCTTCCCCATCTCCACCGGGGAGCAGCTCCCACCTCGCCTCCCTAACACTACTCACAGATGGTAGGGCCAGGCAGGTGGCTGAGGGACCCCGGAGAAGGTAGCCCCCAGGACCAAGAGCAGGACCCCGTCTTATCACCACTTCCTGAACGGCGCTGGTGGCTCACATCACTAGGTGTGATGCGCAGCCCAGTGTGATTTGGGGGTCTCACCTCTCATTCCCTGCCCTGCCCGCCCCACCTGGCTTCTTCCCTCCAGGCGCTGCACCTAGTTCATCAGCTGTGGCTTCAGTCCCTGCTCCCTCTTAGCGCTGGCACCTAAACCCCGGTCTGTGTCTCCGAATCCTTGCCTCACTTCTGTTCTTCATCCATCTTTAGGGAGAGAAATACATCGATCTGAGGCACTAGCCGCTGAATCACATGGCTCTCCCCCCACTGCCTGGAACCTCCCCTGTTCCCTGCTCACCCTCCTCCCCAGCACTCAGGATGGTCGCCAAAGCCTCTAAAGTGGACTACTGAAGTGGAAAAGATCCCCCTCCAGCTTACCTGAAGACCCCATTTCAGAGGGCACGTGGGCTAGGACCCGAGATGTCCAGAGAAAGACCTCATATGGCCCTGGAGGCCCCCTCCTTGGGGACCTGTCCACCAGGGTCTTAATTTGTTGAGAACAAGGAGGAGCCTCAATATCCCAGAAATGCATAGGAGAGTTTCTTATAGAACTTGTTTTCTCTTTACACATTATGGATGTAAGTACCCGTCTTCTACCAGCAACCAAATTAGGTAGCCTGTTTATCTTGAGCTGACTTCCTGGCCCAGGGCTGGCTTCATAATCCAGTCATATCGCTGAAATGTGGCTGCAGTGAGCCCAGGCCTCTCTCCGCGGGTGAGGGTCAATGCTCACTTCAGTTCTGGGGAGACCCCTCCCCCCACAGTAAATGGAAGCAGCTGCCTGCCTGCCTGTGGAGTCGATTTTGCGACACTCCTTTCTTTCCCTGGGCAGAAGCCAGGACCTGGTGGTGTTCCTTACAGGATAGTCAGTGAGGATGCCAGGCACAGATTTCCAGAGTGAAGGCCCTTGGGCCCGAGCACCCTCATTCACTTGGCTCCCCAACCCGCTCTAAGAATCACATTATGACTGAAGGCTGGGGGAGGGGGCTGGAGATGAGGTCCAGATTGTCCTTTACAAGGGTTAAGGCTATAGTTATATTAGCACCAGGGTCCTAATGGGAGAATGGTACTTGGAGATGAGAAACGGGCCTGGCTAGAGCTTTGGGGCGTGTATGTGTATCTGTGTGTGTGTGCGCACGTGCGTGTGTGTGTGTATATATGGTTTTGTTAGGTTGTAAATTTGCAAATTGTTTCCTTTTTATATATGTGTGTGTATATAATATATATATATGAAAAATAAAGCTTAATTGTCCCTTAATCTCACACTGTTTTTTACTCATCATGGGTACCACAGCAGCCTGGGGCCTGCAGAGTTGGAACCATGCCAAAAGGAACACAGAGCCCTTTGCAGCTGGGAGCAGGGACCAGAGGTCACCTCTGCTTTTCAGCAGAGGGCTCGAGCTCTAACACAGAGGATAAGCTTGCTCCTCAGCAGCAGAGCTGCCCTGATCCAGGCAGCTTACAGAGCCTGGTGAGCTGTCAGCAGGGAAGTTTTTGCCCCTTTCCTGTCACTTAAACAGCCCTCCAGGTAGCAGAACAAGACGTCTGGTGATGAACTGATGGGGTTATACATCTGGCCCTGTAGTTCCCCAATGCATTACTCCCTGACCCACGAATGAGCAAGAACTCTGGTCTGCTACAACAAAAGAAACTTTATTTAAAAATATTTTTTACAGACATGGGTGCCTGAAAAAGCTCTTTAGTTAACTGTGTATGGAAGTGAAAAAAAATTAATAAATAACATTAGTATAACAGAACCTCTAAACATTAATACATTGGCAAAACAAAATGGACTTAAAATGAAAATGACTCTTAAAGCTCTGCTATTCTCTGTAAGAATATTTACCTTCTGTTTTATTCTTTACAGGTGAGAATGATTAAATACTGCTAATATAATTTTTTTATATTAATGACACATTTTTAAAATAGTCCACAAAAATCTCATCTAAGGTTTCATTTTGTTTTATTTTTAACACTGATATACAAATGGGACTCTTCATTCTGGAGAAAGCATCAAGTTCTCTCCAGCCCCACCCAGGCCAAGAATGTCAAAATCCTGAATAAGGAGGACTTTGAAAAAGAACTGTTTCTATCTCCCAATTCTTTATTAAGTTAAAGGCAAGGAAGAACTGAGAAGAGGGAAAGAGACAAGTAAAACGTCATTATACAGAAAACTTTTGTTGGTGAAACCTACAGTGGCCACCATACTGAGGACAGGCTTCTGTTCCGGTATGTGGTCCTTGCCGCCCTGCCCAGGGGAAAACTTGCCCCTGCAGAGGCACTATCTGCTTAATGCTCTACGTCTGAAGTTTTCAAATGAAAGGAAAGCCAAGTCTTAAGAGAGAGGCAGGAGGTCTAGGCCAGTTCAGGATCCAGCATAAAGACAAGACAAACAACCTCCTCTTCTCAGGAGTCCACTCTACACTATTCAATGCTGTTGGGTCACTGACAGGATCGGGAGGCTGGGTCACTTGAAACGGTCCAGAGGATACCTGGCAGTCATGGAACATTCTGTCTCCTGCTGAATACAGAACATCCAACCTGACAACTAAGATTCTGACTGGAGCCAATGAAATGATCCTGGGGTACAATGCTCATCTCTTCCAACTCAGCACTGTGGCTGGAGAAGGGACCGCCGACCCGCTGCACCTGGGTGCCACCTCCCCAGCCGCACGGAGACACGTCCTCTCCCCTAGACTGGAGAACTAATGACCCTCAAGGTAGAGGAGCTAAGACTCTGGTATTTCCATATTAAGTCCTAAAATGCAGCCTGGGATACAGTGCTGCCTTAGAAAGGCACAAAATGTTTGGTTTTTTTTTTCAATGTGCTAAAAATTGTTTTGTTTTGAATAAAGCAAAAAGATATATAAGGTTAAAAATACCAAGTCACCACAGCCAGAAAGCAGGGGGAGGAGGTACCTCCTAGCTGCCACGCCCCTGCCACACATTTCAGCAGGAGGCCAAGGCCAGGACACTAAAACAAGGCTGAGACGGGCAGGTCGGGAGGCATCCACTCTTGTGGGCCTGGTGCCTGCAGGCTCACTCACCCTGACAGCAGAAGGAGGAAACCAAGGAACAGAATACACGGGGTCTACAGCCGGGTAAGTGGTCCCCCCCAGCTTCCAGACAGCCATAAGCGCAGCCACAAAGCTCGGTCAGAGGGAGGCGGGGAGGAGGGAACCGATGCACAGGGCACATTAGCACCTATGTCGGAGCGCTGGGTGCAGGCGCACACACACCCCACGCGGGGGCCCAGCAGGGCGCCAGGCCTGGGGAGGCTCAGACAGCCTGGACCGAGCAGACTCCCCTGGCCTCCCAAAGTGACCCAGGGGCAGAAGGAGGATTTGTGAAGGGCGCCTCTCACATTTTGGGGACTGAACAAGAATCTGGGGCCGGGCGATGAGAACTCTGATTTGTTCCACTGCCAGATCAGTAGGTTGGCGTTCAGCCTCCGCTGTCTACACACACAGGGAGTGGTCGGCTACATTTTTCTCAAGAACTGAACAAGGGAAGGGGCAGTGAGATCTCCAAACAGTTGTTAGTCTGTTAGTCAACAGCTGGCCCTTTGGCACCGTGCTCTCCAGAAGACTGCCAGGGGGCCTCTAGGCAGGCCTGGCTCTCCCCACCCCGACTCCCCCACTCACTCCTGGGCTACTTTCCGGAAACAAGAAACATTGGTGCTCCCCCTCTGAAACCAACCCAGACTTCCTAGGACTCGGTGAAGGCAAGTGGCACTGCTGTCCCTCTGCCCCTGAATTCTGGAGCCTAGAAGGGAATTTCAAACACAGGCCCCAGCCTTCACCACGGGCCTCAGTGTGCATCTTTGGATTATTAGGCGACTTTGATGTACATCAAACAACTCCAGTAGTTTAAAAAAGTTGTAAGTAATTATGAAATGCATTAATAACAAGGGACAGGGTCCGGGATGAGAGACATAAGGTCAGAAGATTCAGGCAAGCAGAAGCACGGCTTTAAAAAACCAACAAACAAAGGCTTTACTACAGGACGACAAAGGAAGCAACCGGACAGAAAGGACAGATGCATCCTGTCGAAAGAGCTCTCAGTAGAAACTCTCAACTGGAATCTATACCTAATTCACATCCTGGCAACTGTCCCAATGTCATAAATTCTTACTGCAAAGTAGTTTCTGAGGTACCACGGAAGGCCTGCCTAAGGACATCACTGCAGAGGAAAGACTAGATGAAAGGGTGGGGAGGAGGACATGGAGGGACTGAGGCCACGGGCAGAGGTGACGGGGGATTTGTGATCTGCTCTCTTAAGAAACTGAAAGACAGCCAGAAACCTGAGATTAAATGAAGGCTAAGAAATGTCACCCAAGAACAGACTAGCTCTGGAAAAGGAGAAACGGGTCTTGAAGAAAGAGGTAAGAAATCTTGGATGCCAGGACACATAAAGGAAAGAAAAACAGGCAATAAACAGTGAAGACAGTAACCCAAGTTAACGTTAACCTAAGCGCTTCTTCAATGTCCCAGACACAGTCCCATGCCTGCCTTTCCCCTCTCAAGAAAGCAGTATGGTAAACTTTACTACGAAAGTATTGGTTTGGCAAAAAAGTGCATTTGGGTTTTCATGTCATGACATCATACACAAAAGCTGATTGAACTTTTTGGCCAACCCAAAGTGGTTTAGGGTCTCTCTCACCTCCAGTCAAAACCTCCCACTGCCCCTTCTTCCCACCTGAACTAACCTGCGGCTGCCGCCCTGTGTGGCAAAGGTGGACTGGTTGGGTGTCCATACCTGATCAATATGCTGGGCTGATGACAGTTTTCCTTGAGAATATGAACAAGAGGAGCTGGGTATCTGTTAAAGTGATGATCCCTAGAACTGGGGGGCCATGAGGACTTGAGGACTAGGGTACTGATTTCACGGCTACACATTACTGACAAACAGATTTACCTGCAGGAGAAAGATCGAGTTGCAAAGTTTCTCAGCTCCATGCAGAATCAACTGTACTGCTTCGCTGGGTTCTGTGAGATACTCTGCATCCTGATGACTCCCTCCTTTCTTCTGCTTGAATTCTTTTGTTTCTGGTATCCGAAGGACTGCTCAACAGGATAGTCAAACATACAGTCTTGACCTTCTTCCACTATGCGTCCTCCTCCATGCATTAAGTGGCAACATGCATTTCTAACATGAGGCTGCTAATGTAGACTGAGATCAAAGTAACAGTAATGCTTTATGCTGAGAATACTTCAGATAGAATTTCTAGGGCATGAAAATCCAGGAGGAGAATAACGTGTTGACTCTTACACTAAGTTCCAGGGTCTCTAAGCTCCATACTCGGAGAGATACAGGCTGACATTTTTGAGAACTGAATTTAGTCTACCTCACTGCCTGGCTCTTGGGAGACCAAACAACTGGTGGACAATCAGGACCCAGAGACAGGCGCTCATCCTCCTCTCACAACTTTGGCTCTTCTAAGGAGACACAGGATTAGCAGGAAGGTTGTGGAACGATTGAAAACCAATTCCACACAGGATGGGAGATGGTAAGAGGTCCCAGAAGGGTCATAAGAAAACTTCCTAATAAAGGGGAACAGGAATACAAGCAGCTGAGTAAAAAGATCAAGGAAGGCACTAGAGTGGAAAGGGGACTGTAGGCAGATGCTTTCCTTAAACATTTGACTGCCCTACTGTGCAACTCTGAGCCAATGAACAGACCCATCACACAGACTATAAACACATAAAAATAGTGGGTAATCCATGAGACTTACATGGAGGAATCTCCCAGACATTGTCAAAACTAAAGGAAGACAACAGGGGTTAAGGGGAGCATCTTGAACTGATTCTTAACCAGGACAGCTCTATAAGGAAACGTATGTCTGCATACAGCTGTGATTATAAACTGCACAATCGAATTGGGAATGGGTATTTTAGGACCAAATGCACATGCTAGACAGTCAAAGTACAATTCCTCAACATCAGTAAACTGCCTTGCGGTGGGAGGCGAGAACACAAGAGCTGGCACTTGAGGCTCATGGTATTCACTCATAACCACCTGCTGAACGAACACACACTCTGAGAGCCGGGCCAATGGTCAGAATATCATTATTCCATGGGCAGTGGTCACTGCAGAGTCAGAAAGGCCAACAACAAGAGGGGAGATTTACAGTTTGGGAAGAGGGCCTGTAACCCTCTACCTCTCATGACGTGAGGTAGGAGAATATTCTGCACTAACACCATTGCTGGTCACATGGGAAAAGGTCTAGATCTTGTTAAAGGGAACATATAGCTGGTCCCTACTTTGCAAGCAAATATAAAAAATTCATGTGTGAGGTTTCTGATTGAACCATAAAATATATTTTACTTTTCTAAAGAGGAAATAAATATTTTAAGTATGAGAAATAGCAACCCCCCCAATTTTTCTTCTAAATCCACAAAACAGCTAAATGATACTAACAGTACTATACTACACCCTGGGCCCTGGTGTGAAGAGTCTGCATGAGAAGCAAAAGAACAGGATGGCACAACACGCAGAACAGGGTTGGGGGCATAGAGAGAGTTAGGGGAGAGAATGGCCACCCACAGGTATACAGCATTATTGATATAAATATTAACAGATAAATGCTGAGACAATAGACTGCCAAATCTATTATTTACCTAAACGGAGGTATATCACTGAGCCCACAGGTTTTTCCCACCTTGAGAACCCCTGACTTTAACAGAAGGAGTATGGCAGGGGCAGTGGATGAAACAGCCAGCCAGCATCAAGGAGGGCTGCAGAAAGCAGTCCAAGGAGACATGGGGAAGCAGGGTTGAACCGAAGAGCCTAATGCATTTGAGAAAAGGGGAAACAGCAAAGTGGTTTTTACCTTACTTACCTGATAGCTAACAGAGGGGGAACCATTTGTAACTTAGAGGGAGAAAGGGGATGTGACTGCTCCAAATGGCAAAATTCAAAGCCCACTTGTAAAAGGGCAATTTAGTTAAATTCAGAGCAGAACCAAAGAATTAAAAACTGCCACATGAACTGAGGATGAAGAATGGGTGACTGGTGCCTCAAAGGAAAATTTAAGAAATTATGGTTTTGGAAATATCCTCAAACAAGAGCCATGAGAAAACTTGCCTGAGGCTCATCTGGCAATCTCAGACTCAGACCCAGGCATGAACTCAGAGCACCCAAAGGAACCTCTCACTGAAAGGTCTGAGACCCTGAGTGCCCGTAGACAAACAACTGACAAGCTAAGAACCAGGCCAAGCAATGGTGCATATGTTCAGCACTGAGTTTGAGGACTGACCCAATGAACCACGCAGGTACTCAATGAACTGTTGAGTACTGAATGACCCAATGAACCATTATGAAAAAAAAAAAAGGATAAGCTTGCCTTTAGCGTATATAAGTAAGGACATAATCTTCAAAGAAGACTTTCCATGCACTTTGAAAAGACAAAGGATTTGCAGAACCACTGCTTTGTTCTCTTGACAGATCTTCAGACTATAGGTAGTATCTACAGATGAGGAAAAACTCCAGCAGGCAGAGGTATGCAGGCTGCTGCCATGTTTTCTAGTTCTTCACCTAGGCCTTCCACATCTAAACAAAGTGCAAAAATGAATGCTACCACAAGTGAAACACTATACCAGCTTTGAGCAGGAGACACTAGGTTCCTCTTTCCTACTCTCTGTCACTTTCCTCTGCCTTTCCACCCTGACTGAGGCCCTCCTGCACCTGGTGGGGGCTGTGTCATTCTCTGCCACAAAGAGAAGACAATGCGTAACCACGGCAATTCAGCAAGAATCCCCAAACCATCCACTCTGGGAATGTAAATGGCTCGGAGGCAAGAGGAGAAAAACAAAAGATCTAGGAGTAACTGAAAGCCAAGAAAAGAGTTAGAAAAAGCTTTAAGTCCAATTATGATAACATGGGAAAGAAAATAGATGCAAAGTCATTTCTGTTTAGATTGTGAGACAAACCAGGTTTTAGATTGTGAGGCAGGTGGGTTTATCAAGGAGCAGGCTTGTTTCTGACCAGAAGGAAGGTTACCCACTGCCAGGGAGTCAGTTAAAAGGCTCGAGCTGGCAGCATCTACAGGAATAGACCAATGAACTCTGAGTCTTCTTTACCAACTGGCAAGGGCACAAGCTGTAGGGCTTGTCAATGTTGTCTGAGTGCAGTAAAGGCATTGATCACACCAGTGATGTCTAATGACTGTGGGGAACGCAGTCACTAAAGAGTATCTGAGAGCTAAAGGGAAGAAGAAAGGGGATGAGGAAGAAGAAGGAAATGCTACATTCCCAAAGCCATAGGCACAAAGAGAAAAGTGAGTCGCCAGGCAGCACCAGTGTAGGGTTGGTGCAAACTGTCAGCAGAATGCTGTGCTACCCTGGAGTGATACCCTCAACTCCTTAAAGAGCAAAGAAAAAAACTCACCTCTGAAAATATAACCTGGCTCATCATCACAGGGAGACACCCATATAAGCTGAAATTCACTGGGAAGAAAAGCTGAAGAGAGAAATCCTTATTGTCTGCTGAGTGCATTTTATGTATAACAAAGTATAGAGCGTGTGAATGGAGCTTCCTAAGTGCTTCATGGTATTTGGGCCAGAAAGCCATGCCAGAAACAAATGTTTTCCCCTTCCCATTAAGTAGAAAATCTCATGATCTACATTAGAACACATACCTGGCACCAAGGCAACTGACTCCCGCAGACTACTTTCTGGGGAGAGCATGGAATGTATCTGAAGGCCTCTATCTCGTATCAGTCATTATGTAATTACGATAATTAAAACATCTTTTTAAAAACAGATTCAATGTTCCTATAGAAACAGTGCTTTGGAGTGACCAGTGTTCGCTGCAAGTATCAAACAGGACCATAATGACAGAGCAACAGTACTTTTTTTCCCACCTATCTACCAAACAAACCAACACCATCACACATTATAAAGAACATCCTATAAGCTGCTTGGCGTCAGTAAGGCTGATCACAGTAAGCCCACTGCCAATGACAGACTCTAAGGAGGAGGAGGGCGGAGGAGACAGGGAGAAGACAGAGCAGGGGGTGGGGAGGCGTTCTAAAAATACAAGACTTCAGCTATGCGCACGACAATCCAAGCCAAAGGGGAGTGTTTGAGTTGTAACACACGCTGGGGTTGGGGAGAAAACCACAGTAGATGGGAGTCTTTAAGATTCCTTCCTAAACCTCTTGTGCTAATTCCCCGCCTGGAATTTACACACACAGCAGGTTAATCTTATAACACACAACCACAGACAGACAGACAAAACGCATAGAACCATATCCTTAACCCAAGAAAGTCTTAAGTCCTCAATTAGGATTTAGAGCACAGTACTTCTGCTTTCTGGACTGCTCCCCAGGTAGGCTACCATTTCACAAAAATCCACACTCTTTCCAAGTGGGGACTGAAGGACACCTTCAAATGCACTCTTAAAACATTAAGAAAAGAATCAAGCCTCCTAGCTGTTCCGTCCCCAGTCCACTGCTTTGAAATCTTGGAACCACAGATGTGATACCCCACAGACAGGGCAAGACCTCACTGTGAAGTTTCCAAAGGAACCTAGCCGCCCTTTAGGGTGCTACTTGAGCGAGAGCTCCCGGCTCCTCGGTCCTCTAAGCTGCAGCACGGAGGGGGTGTGCTAGGTGGCAACGTGGGCCGGAGAAGAAATAGAAACGAATTCCCGGAGGATGTTTTTGGCCATTTCAATGTTGTTGTGGGCAATGACCAAGGCTTTCTGAATGTCCTGATAGGAGTAGCCCTGACTCAGGAGGCTCTCGATCTCGCTGGAGAGCTGCGGGGAGGCGGCGGCCGAGGTGGCAGCACTGCTCTGCTGACAGCTGCCTGCTTTCCGTTCAGAGTTGATTCTCCGAGGGAATGGCTTGGGTGGCCTCTCAGGAACCTGGGCACTCTCAGTGAAGTCTGGAAGAAATCGGAAAGAGAATATTTGCAAATCTGAGGGCGGGTGGGGGTGGGGAGAAAGCCTCATCTAATAACAATGTGCTAGTATGAGATATTACTGACCCACTGTCAGTCGGGTACATGTGTTCTTCAGTCACACGGCTGGGTTTTTACAGCTTTAAGGGTTTTAGTGTACAGCCTTCCTCTCACGGCAGGACAACCTTCTATAAACACCATGCACTTGCCCTACCGACGGGGACCATGCTGCCCTGCCCACACAACATCTGCAACACACTTTACACTGAGCACCAAATTTTCACATGCGTTACTGCCTGAATAAGTCAAAAAACATTTCTGAGGGGCCAGAGCAGACACTAGATTTCTCCTTCACAAATCAAGGAACAGAAATAAGCCGAGGTCACAGTGAAGAAGCATTAAACAAGGCTGGGTGGCAGGGGATCACTGCCTGTTTGGGCAATGGATGCCATGTATCTTTTTTCACCAGCTGTCCTAAAGGCTGTCTTCCGTTAGTTACTAAAGTGACAGAAACTCTGGCCGCTGCGTTCCCAGGCGGCCACAGGTGCAAGAAGGACAGCCTTTAACAGTCGAGGTCCAAATGTGGGCTGGCTCTAGGCCCACTCAGATGCTTTCCAGAGCCAGTACGCCTCCCTTCCAGTGGGACAGGGCCTAGAAGTCAGGAATGTGTGCTCCAAATCATCAAGCTGAATTATCACTGTCATCACGCATGCTCAGATGAGCCAGAAAGCCTACTACTCCCAGCATAGGCAGAGCCAGGGTGAAAGGAATAACCTTATTTCTAAGTCAGGCAAAATTCTCTAGAGTCTAAATCAACTTTAACTTCCCAATTTGGGTCCCAGGACCAGCTTTCCTCCCACTTTGGTCCACTCCTTTCAGCTACTGACTTACTGTCACTAAGCAGTCATCTCTGTTTTGGTATAAACAGGGAGCCACACAGCATTTCTGGGTAAACCTGAGGGAGCCTGGAGACTCACGTGTTGGGGGATCACCTTCCAGGGACAGCCAGCCAAAGGAGGAACTGGCGTTGGAGATGTCGGAGAGCGTGCGGCGGGCCAGCACCACAGGCACGGGTGGCTTGGGGACATCATACCCGTCCTCTTCATTTTCTGATTCCTCAGGGCCAGTGTTGGCATGGGCTGCAGCCAAATTCCCTTCACCTAGAGAAAAATTTGTGCAGTTATCCTCTTTTTCTAACATACTTCTCTGCCTAACATTTCAGGACAGGGACATCCACTCATCCAGCATATGTAGCATCAGTTACTGAATATCCATTATGGGTCAAACACTGTGTGGCCCTGTGGGTAGAAAAAAAAGAAACAAGGAACCTAAAATCTACACCAACCCTGCAGCTCTATTTTTCTAAATATGTCAAAAGCTACCCTGGCCAAGGTTAACGGCCACTGAAATCCAAGACTCAAGCACCACTTTACAGCATTCAGTCAACATTTTCATCTGCATTTCACCTTGGAAGATCAGCCAAAGGGCCCTGTTGTATGTACTGCCTTCTTGAACTTTCAACTTGGTAAGCTAGTTAATATGGGAATGAAGTATTCACCACCCACACACACAAGAATTTCATCAATGTTGAAAAGCAATGGGAGTAAGAGGGAGCTAGCTGCCAGCACTGCAGGTCCAGGCCATATAACACAAGGGCTGCCAGGCCCTGGAAGGATGAAAAACCCAAATGGAACTGGCTGTGTGAATGAAAAATAAAAGAGAAGAAAGGCCTTTACTGCCATAGATCAAAAATACTTTGCAAAGAAAATTATTTAAGAATATTCCACTTAGATCAAGCTCTCATTGGCCAGACATTATCAGCTCATTCCTCCGGCACATCAATGATTGTTAAAGCAGCAGAACTGGGGACTTCCCTGGTGGTCCAGTGGCTAAAACTCCATGCCCCCAATGCAAGGGGCCCAGGTCTGATCCCTGGTCAGGGAACTAAGATCCCACATGCCGCAACTAAGAGTTTGCACGCCACAACTAAAGATCCCACATGCTGCAACTAACACCCCGCATAGCCAAATGAATAAATAAATTTAAATAAATAAATAAAGTAGCAGAATGACTACTCACCAAACGTACCACTCTCTGTGACAGATGGCGCCACCTGGGACTGAATATTATACATGGCTTCATATGTACAGCTATCAATCTGCTGGTCACAGTCACATGTTCTGGACCGGAAAGAAAGTGGCATAATGATCTTCAGAAACAGAACTCTGTTATCTGCAAACTTAGCAGGAGTCACTTATTCACAACTTCTCTAGACCCTGATTCTATCAAGATAACACTCTCCCTTCGCCAGTGTCACTACTAGTAAATATCATAAGATTGACCCCTATTATGAGTAACGCTGTGTATGTTTTTGAAATTATTGTGATGCTCAAGAAACATTAAGTGGAACTGCTTACAGCTGCAAGAAGCTTAAAACATTAGCGGCTACACACATCTTTCTGCTTTATTTTTGGCTGGATAACACTATGTGCAGGCAGCAAGCCAAGCAGGTGAGTGAGTTGGTGTCAATTGAATTCCCAAACAGGACTGTTGTGAACCTACCGTGAACTCTGCGCTATCTCTGGAGGCCACTTCACTTCTGGCTTTTGAAGTCCCACGGGCCTAGAGGAAGGAGTCATATACTCTGTATCCTCCTCATTTTCACACTGCTCCCCAGGGGGCAGCTTTGGCACAGGAAGAGGTCTGGAAGAGGAAGAATAAAAAAACAGAAAAAGAAAACAAAAAGAATGAACTGCTTTGCAATTACCTGAAATAATTTGAAAATCACTGTGGCAGAAGAAATATATAACATCCTCAGATGTTCAAGATACTCCTAGTAAAAAACAGCAAGCATGATTCTAAATACATAAGAATGGCAATGAGTATATTACCTATTGCCAATTACTGTCTGACTCTAGGTGGTAAGATTCTGCTAACTTTCTTTAGCATTGCTCACCTGTGTTTTTAAAATATTCTTATAACATACTATTTTCATAAAGAGAAAAAGGTCATTAAAAGGGTAATCCACAAATTTTAATTACAATTCTTTTTGTTGATGCTAATAAAAATATAAAATTGCACCATTTACTCATTAAGCATTTTGGCAATACATACTTTAAAACATTCACATTCTTCTGTTACAGTAATTCTACCTTGGCTGCATCTCTGGCTATGTAGAAAGATACACTGAAGTAAAGTCATTACATTAAAAGCTTTTAAACAAAATAAATATTCAACAACAGGAATGATTAAATATATGATGTTATAAATTTGCGGGAGATAGTGAAGGACAGGGAAGCCTGGTATGCTGCAGCCATGGGGTCGCAGAGAGTTGGACACGATTGAGCAACAAAATAGTCATATTATGTAATAATATGCAATCGTTAAAAGTGAGGATTTTGAAGAACTTTTTAACTGAAAGGAAGAAGTGCCCAATATATAATGCTAAGTTTAAAAAAAGGGAAAACATAAAACTATATTGATCTAAAACATACATACATTTTACATGTCTACAGCCATGACCAAGTAACAAGTATAGTCTGACCATCTGCCTAGAACAGCCAGCTATAAAAGCAGGAAACTATACAAAAGAAAGAAGCAGAGGCATATTCTCTTTCCAGAGGCAAGGAGAATACACTGCATTAAGCCCCATATTAGGAGTTCTGAACTTGAGCTTTCAATGTAGATTTCAACAGACTGAGGAGAGAGGGATTGGAATTCGGGAATACCACGATGGCCAAGACACAAGGAGTCAAAAATCCTGGAGAAGGGAACAGTAGAGACACAGGTTTGAAATGCTGCCTGCAATTTTCCCTAGAGCTACTGTGAATCCTTAAACCATGTATGCATGGGACAAGATTCTGAGAAACCAAGCAAAAAGAAGTAGTACCTTGGCTATCTTGCCAAACTAGAGAGACAAAGCTGAAAGTAACAAATATGGCCTTTAAAATAGTTATAATTTATATGTTCAAGAAAAAAGAGAATTTTATTAGAAAGCTATACATGAAAAGTCTAGAACCTAAAAACACAGTATTTGTTAAGATGGATTCTGGGGCAGATTAGAAACTGAAAAAAAAAAAAGATTAGGCAAGTGAAATAGAGTAAGAACTATTCCAATTCAAGTAAAGAGAGGAAAAAGAATGGAAAACATGGAAATGAGCAAAAGAGCTGTACGAGGTATGATGAAAAGGCGGAACTTCCAGGTAACTGGAGTCATAGGAGAGAGAGACTGCAGGGTTTCAGTCTACCTGAAGAAACAGTACATGCTGGAAACTAACACAACACTGTAAATCAACTACACTCCAATAAAAGTTTTAAAAAGAAAAAGGAAGTAGTGGCTGAGATTTTCTATGCTGATTTTTTTTTTGCGGGGGGCGGGGGTGGGGGGTGGTGGCAGGGCAGGTGGAGAGAAGGGGACTGCACTGCACGACTTACAGGATCTTAAGTTTCCCAACCATGGACTGAACCCAGACTCTTGGCAGTGAGAGCACAGAATCCTAACCACTGGACCACCAGGGAATTCCCAGTGGCTGAGATTTTCTAAAACTGATTAAAAGCATCAAATGACAAAATCCATAAACTCAAAAGCCTTAAGCATAAATATAAAGAAAACTACATAGGCACATTATAGTAAAACTGCTGGGATCCAAAGACAAAAAGGTGTTATAAGTAGTCAGAAAAAGAAACATTACCCTTGAAGGAGCAACATTACTCTCATTTTCCAACAGATACAATAAAAGTCAGAAGGTGGTGTGATATTTTTAAAGTGCTGAAAGACATGGGTTTGAATTGCATTGATCCACTTTTATGCACATTTTCCCCATAAATGCATACTATAGTACTACACAATCCACAAAGTTGGTTGAATTTGGATGTAAAACTGTGGATACAGAGGGTGCACTGTAGTTATAGCTAGATATTCCAATACATAGTGGGTTGGTGCCCCTAACTCCTGAATTGTTCAAGGATTGACTGTACTATATTTAGTAAAAATATCTTTAAAAAGTGAATGATAAAAGATATTTAAAAACTTTTTTTGATAAAAGATATTTTAAGTCAAAGAAGATTTAATTGAATGCACGAATAGAAGATACACTAACACACACTCCTCTTTCTCTCCCTCTGTTGCTCTAAAGGAAGTTATTTAGGCAGAAGGAAAAAGATTTCAGATGGAATGATGGCAAAGCAGGAAGAAATGAAAATACTAGAGGATAAATACGTGGAAATTTAAATGTCCTTGAAGTGTTAAGAGGCCCTGATTCCAAGTGGACTCTAATGATCATGAGTCAAGGGTATACGTTGGAATCCTGAAGATAACTGTTAAAAGAATATAAGGAGAGAAATGGTATAATAAAAAGTATTTTACTCCCAAAGAAAGAAAATTGGAAAAGGAAAAAAAAATGAGCAAAGACAGGAAAAATGAGGGAAAGGGTAGGGAACAAATATTTTATAACAAAAACGCTAGACTAGATTTAAGGGGGAAAAAAGCCAAAAAGTATATCTATATATACTGCTTACAAGAAACATACCTTCAAACATCCCTTCAGCAGGAAAGTTGAAAGTAAAAGGATGGAAAAAGATCAAGCAAACACTAAAAGAGAGCTGAGTCCAGGGGTTAGGACTCTGATACAGACATTTTAATATAAGCCAAACTCCATGGGGTCACGAAGAGTCGGATAGGACTTAAGCAACTGAACAATAACAATAAAGCAGACTAAGGCTAGTTTGAAGCACAATCAGAGAGTAAATGGAGTAACAAGAACAATGATTATTTAGTCAATAATTCTAAATTTCTATGTACCCTGATTACATAGACTAAATACACATACAAATGGACAGAAATAAACAGAAAAAAGAGAGACCCCCCAATTATAGGTGGAGTTATTAAAATAACACCTCTTAGTATTTGACAGAACATGTAAATTTTTTTAAAAAATCAGCAAGGAGATAGTACATTTGAATACAATTAACAAACTTGACATATACAGAATGTTGTGCCCAACAACTGCAGAATATCCATTTTTATAAAATGAAGATGGTAAAAACACATATGGAATTTACCATAAACTAGTCAATAAGGAAGGTCCCACAAATAGCACAAATTTAAGTCACAGGGTATAGTTTCTGACCTCACTGGAAGGAAGCTAGAATGCAGGAACAGAAAAATAACTAGAAAATCTTCCAATATTTGAAAGTCAAGGAACATATAAACAACTGATAATCAAAGAAGAAATCACAAATGGAAAATCATCATATAATTTGAAGTGAATGATAAAGAAAATATGACATATCAAAATTCGTGGTTTTACAACTACAGCATCTGTTATGGACTGAATGTTTGTATCTTTCCCAAAACTACTGTCTTGAGGCCCTAATGCCCAGTGTGGCTGTATGTATGAACACTGAGCATCTGAGGCAGTAACTAAGGTTGCATGAGGTCATAAGGATGGGCCCCAACCCAACAGGATGGTGTCCTGATATGAAGAGACACCAGAGAGCCTGCTGTTGCTCTCTATACCTCTCCCTCAACACATGTATGAAGGAAAAGCCATGTGAGAACACAGTGAGAAGGTTATGCAAGCATGTAAGCCAGTAAGAGATTCCTCACCAGAAACCAAATATGCTGACATCCTGAGAGATCTTGGACTTCCAGTCGCCAGAACGATGAGAAAATTAAATTCTGCTGCTTAAGCTGCCCAGTCTGTATGCAGTATTTTGTTATGGCAGCCTGAGCAGATTAACAGAGCACCCAGCTCGTGGAGCTAGAAAAATAACAAATAAAACCTAAAGAAAGTTGGAAGAAAAAAATATAAGAGGAGAAAGCAATGAAACAAAAACCAGATACTCAATGAGGATTCTGGGAAGATGGTAGAAGTTGTCTGATGTAACCATTTTGGAACTCCAGAGTCTGTTGAAGGCTTGTAACTGCCAGGTAAAGGTCAGGATGCTAAATTGCTATTAATTTCAGTTCTTAGCATAGTAGCAGCTATCCATTCCCAACCCTTGTCACAGGGTAGGCAGCTGTACAAATGTTCCTGGAGCAGCCTGCACATAACATTCAGGAGTCAAGGTGGACAAAAAGGACTCAGAGCCTCAGATATTGGGAATCTGTGTTCTGATCACAGGGGTGCTGACAAAGGGGCAAGAGCAGCAGCCACTGCTGCTGCCCCTTCCTGCACTGTAAATCCCTCCCACTCTGGCTGAAGTCACTTCCATGAGATTTAAAGGAAGATGTGGAGAAAAATCAAGAAAACCATGTGGAACAAAGTGGAAGTATCAACAGAGACAGAAAAACCTAAGAAAAAACAAAGAAGAAATTCTAGACTGAAAAGTACAAGTGAAATGGAAAAAAAAAAAAAATCACTAGAGGGAGTCAAAGGTAGACTTGAGCAGCGAGGAGAAAGAATCAGTGAACTTGAAGAGAGAACAATGGAAATTATCAAGACTGAGGAATAAACAGAAAGAAAAAATGGCTGAAGAAAACCAAACAGAGTCTAAGGGAGCTGTGGGACATACCACCACCAAAGGACCAACCTACACACTGTGGGAGTCCTAGTAGAAGAGAGAGAGAAAAGTGGCAGAGAGAATAGATGAAGAAATAAGGGCCCCAAACTTCCCAACTCAATGAACACAAACATCTGAGAAGTTCAACAAACTCCAAGTAAAAGGAACTCAAAAAGACTCACACTCTTAAAAGACAAAGATAAAGAAGCAAACCATCACACATGAGGGATCTTCAATGAGATTATGAGAAGACTTCTCATCAGAAACTTTAAAGGCCAAAAGACAGTTGGCTTATATATTTGAAATGCTAAAAGAAAATAAGCTCTCAACCAAGAATCCTACACAGGCATACCTTATTTTACTGCACTTCAGAGACAGCATTTTGTTGTTGTTTTTTAATAAGCTGAAGACCTGGGGCAACTCTGTATCGAGCAAGTCTACTAGCACCATTTTTCTAACAGCATTTTCTCACTTCATGTCCGTGTGCCACATTTTGATAATTCTCAAGATTTTTCATTATTATATTTGTTACAGTGATCTATAATCAGTGATCTCTGATATTACTATTGTAAAAAGATTATGACTTGCTGAAGGTTCAGGTGATGGTTAGAATTTTTTAGCGATGAAACATTTTACATTAAGGTGTGTGTGTGTGTGTATATATATAGGACACAATGCAACTGCACACTTAACAGACTACAGCATAGTGTAAACATAACATTTATATATACTGGGAAACCAAAACCAAAGAATTCAGGTGTCTCACTTTACTGCAATATTCACCTTAATGCAGTGGTCTGGAACCAAACCACAGTATCTTTGAAGTATGCCTGCATCTGGTAAAATTGCTTCCAAAAGTGAGGGAGAAATCAAGATATTCCCAAATAAACAAAAGCTGAGGGAGTACATGACCACTAGACCTGCCCTGCAAGAAATGTCCAAGTAAGTCCTGCAGGGTGAAATGAAAACACTAGACAGTAATTTCAAGCTGTATGGAGAAATAAAGACTTGCATAAAAGTAAATACACAGACAGTTATAAAAGCTAGTATTGTTGTAAGAGTGGTTTGTAACTGTACCTTTTTTTTCCTACATGATTTAAGAGACTAGTGCATTTAAAAGGAAAAAAATCCATAATTAGTATAAAATCCAAAACAGTGTAAAAGCCAGTATTACTGTAACTTTGGCTGGTAACTCCAAATCTCTTTTTCTGTATAAATTTTAGGAAACCAATGCACTTAAAAGAACTAGATCATAATCTAGTTTAAAAGTACTAGGGGCACACAATATATAAAGATGTAATTTAGTGACAACAACCAAAGGGGTGTGGTGGGGCAGTAAAGGAGCAGAGTTTTTACATGCTACTGAAGTTAAGCTGGTATAAATTCAAATTACACTGTTATAGCTTTGGGATGTTACATATAATCCCTATGGTAACCACAAAGAAAGAATCTATAGAATATACACAAAAGGAAATGAGAAAGGAACTTAAAACATTTCAACACACACACACACAAAAAAAAAAAACAAAAACTAAACACAAAAGAAAGTAATGCAGGAAATGAGGGACAAAAAAACTACAAGGAATACAGAAAACAAACAGCACAATGATAGAAGTCCCTCCATATCAGTAATTGCTTTAAATATAAATGAGCTAAACTCTCCAATCAAAAGACAGAGACTTTGGATTGGATTAAAACACACAATCCAAGATATGCTATCTATAAGAGACTCTTTTGAGACTCCATGACACAAACAGGCTGAAAGTCAAAGGATGGGTTAAGTTATTCTGTGCAAATAGTAACCAAAGGGGTGCGGGGAGGAGGGAGCTATGCTAATATTCAGACACAATAGACTTTCAGTCAAAAAAGGTTACAAGGGACAAAGAACATTATATAAACTGGAAGATTTAACAATTATAAACATTTATACACCTGAGATCAGTCCTGGGTGTTCACTGGAAGGATTGATGTTGAAGCTGAAACTCCAATACTTTGGCCACCTGATGTGAAGAGCTGACTCACTGGAAAAGACCCTGATGCTGGGAAAGATTGAGGGCAGGAGGAGAAGGGGATGACAGAGGATGAGATGGTTGGATGGCACCACTGACTCAATGGACATGGGTTTGGGTGGACTCTGGGAGGTGGTGATGGACAGGGAGGCCTGGCGTGCTGTGGTTCATGGGGTCACAAAGAGTCGGACACAACTGAGCAACTGAACTGAACTGAACTGATACACCTAATGACAGACCATCAAAATATCAATATATGAAGCAAAACCTGACAGAATTGAAGGGAGAAACAGACAGCTCTACAATAACAACTGGAGATTTTAACACCCCACTCATAATCATGGACACAAAAATCAAATATAAAATAAGTAAAGAAACAAAGGACTTAATACAATAAACCAATTAGATGTAATGGACAAACACAAAAAACCTCTACTCAACATTAACAGCACACACGCTCTTCTTATGTACAAACAGGACACCTTACAGATGGACAATATGTTATGTTAGGCCACAAACTAAGTCTCAATAGATTTTTAAAAATATCATACAAAATATTTTCTCTAATCACAACAGATAAAGTTACAAATCAATTAAAAAAAAAAGTAACACTGAAAACTGTGGAAATTAAATGATACACTCCTGAGTAACTATGTAGCTGAAACCATACTGGCTCCATTCTGTGAGCTCCATCTTACACCTGCAGTCCCACACCTTCCCCTTCTCTGTGACTGGGCTTTAGCCTACTCACAAGGAATATGCCCAAGCCAGGTGAGTTTCCTATCAACTTTTACCTTTGTTTCATCTGACATGAAAACTCGAGGAATACCTTCAGCTGACATAGATTAATGGTCTGTAAGGAATAACGGCAAGAGATTCTCCCCCCAGCTCGCCCCACCCGGTTCCTATTGCTGCAGACATACTTCTCCTTTAGGAGTCAGATATCTATCTTTAGCTTTAGCCCCTTTATACTCTCTTGTTCCCCTTTCAGTGACGTGCAGTGCAGCTCCAAGTGCCTCTGGATGGTTGTCTGCCCAATACTGCCTATATGTAAGTTTCCCACAATACATTCCACATTGTACCTTATTTTGCTTTTTTTTTTAAGAAGGTCTCAAAGTTCCTTCTCATTCTGTATTGTAGGAAGAGGATGTTTGCTATGACTAGTGTGTTCTCCTGACAAAACTCTCTTAGCCTTTAATTACCCTGTTTCTTTTTACTCCAAAGCCAAACTTGCCTATTACTCCAGATATCTCTTGACTTCCTACTTTTGCATTCCTACTATGTACATATACACAGAGAAAATAATGGAAAGAAACAGTCCAATACATGATAATTTTTACATAATAGAAATACAGGTCAATTTTTATTTTCTTCTTTACAACCCTCTGGGTTTTCTAAATTTCCTATAAACAAGTTGTTTGAAAGTATCAACTCCACTGTATGAAATACAGTTTTAGTAAACTTACCTGGCAGCCAGAGAATAAATGGCATTGGCAGATGCGGAAGGTTTGATTTTGGGATGCTCACACTCTGCACCTGCTAATGGGCTGCTATTCATATTCTGGAAAGAAGAGAGTTTAAAAAAAAAGTTCTTAATATAGCTAAGCATCTCCTCTTATTTAATCTATTCAAAATAACAACAACAGTCATATAGACAGAGACGTCATCCTCAATGCCATGCTTTGGGCTTATTATACGTGACAAAAGTATAGTTGAAGGTTCAAATATAAGGGTTAGGGAGGGTAGATCTAAAAATGAGGCAATGAAATGAGGGGATTTTTTTGTTTAATTCTAGAAAGATCTGAGGAAACTGGCTGTCTGCACAATTACCATTCTAGCTTTAAAAATCTACATATTTTTCTATATTAATGCCACTGAAAGTCAAACCTAATCCGCTCTCACTAATTAAGACTGCCTATACCATAAATGCCACTTAAATGCTAAGTTACCTTCCCCTTTCCCTTTCAACCATGAAATGCATAGCTCATTTAAGGACCACAGCATTTCTCAACTTCACCCTCCAATTCCATCTTCTTCTTGGGTTTGTAACTACCCACTGGCCAATTCTTCCTTTAATGGCTAGTGTCAAATTCAACATGTTTATCCCTAGTTAGCCAGGTTAAACCCTCTGCAGTGTGTGCATATGCGTATATATGTACACGCGACCTCTCATCCTTTTTCCCACCAACCAACTGCTTTCAAGACTCACTGGGTCTTTGTTCCATGCTCCCTGAAGTCTCTACCTAAATAGGCTCCCCGTTCTGTTCCTGGACCAGGAGTATCCCTCTCATTTACCCTGTACCAGCTATGTGAGGCCCCTCTGTGATTACAACCACAGACTTTCCCAAACTCATCTGCTTTCCCTTCACCCCATGTTGCTCCAAGTCTTTGCTCAGAAATGTATGTCATCCCTTCATGTACCTCCCCATCCCAAATCCAGCTTTCTCTACACCATTTTCACCCTATGTTTTATCACAGCATTCATCAGCATCCAAAACTTTTTATATTTTATAGTTTATCTTGTTTATTTTCCATCCTTCCTCCAGTAGAATGTAAATTTTTTGAGGGCAAGATTTTTTGCTGAGTGCATAAAGAACCAACAAAAAGAAAAAAAAAAAAAGAACCAACAAAAGAATGAATACACCTCTCCCACCCCCAATTCTATCCCTTATCTCCTGCTTATCCAATGGACTGCTAACCTGTCTTTTTTCAATCCATTCTCTTGCTAATCCATTCTGCATACTGTTCCTAGATTCCTCTTTTTTTTTTTTAAGATTCCTCTCTTTAAGCCATCATTTTGGTCACATTACTGCACTAATTTAATCTTCATGTACTCTTCATTTATACCAAATAAATTCCAATTCTTCTGGGAGGGTGCCCTCTAATCTAGCAACAATGTTCCTTTCTAGCCCCTTCTCCTACTCTGATACACAAAACTTCTCCTCTTCTCAAATTAAACACTTCTTATTCCACAATACATCTTAAGCATTTCTGTCATTGTAGTCTATCTTAAAACAGTATCCACTTTGGAAAGAATACTTCAAATTCAGATGCCACTCTTATAAAGCCCTCATGATTGCTCTATCTGGAAATAATCTTTTCTTTCTCTAAAAATTAAAGTGTTTTCTATTCATACAATTCATGGCAGAAATATGCTTATTGCATTTATAAACATATTAACAGATATACTTCTTGAAAATAGGGATTATATTATCTCTGAATCCAGTACAAAACATAAACATTCCCCATCAATGTCATCCACAAATATTTGTTACTAAGATAAATAATTTCAAAATGAGGACTCACCATGGAGGTATCCAGATTGAATGTGCTTCCGAGCCTAGGCATATCAGTTCTGGGTTCCATTTGTGAGGGCAATGAAAATGGAAGTGAATGCCGGTTGGTTAATTCTCTCCCTGTCCAGGGGTCACTAGGGTTTGGGGCAACTACTGGTACTTTGGGGATTGGCCGATGTAGCCATGACGCTTCTCCAATGCGGCCAGAGGGGACAGGGGGCAGTTTGTCTCTGGATGGACAGTCACCCGGTGTACAAGGCAAGGGGCGTCTCTGAGGCCGGGTTTCTGCTCCACCAGAATACGGCCGGTCTGGAGGAGGTGGCGGTGGAAGATCTCGAAGAGTGGGAGGTATTGGTAATGGTTTGTCCTTATGAAGAGAGCCAGGAGGAGCCTATGGAAGCATGATGGAAGCAATCAAATTCCACTATTCCACAAAAAAGAATCAGAAAAAACTGCAGAAATGGCTAATGCTTTACCTTAGAAGCAGTTCCAAGACCAGAAGCACTTGAAGGGATAGATATTCGCTGCTGTAGAAGGTCAAGTCGTGGTGGCACTGGGGGAAGGGAAGCTTGTGGGGCCATGGAGAATGGAGAAGGAGGTCGTTCCACCTAATACAGGTAACAATTTCCTAATAGGTTATTCTTGTTTGGAGAAGGGGTAACTCTCAACTCCTAAAGATGTAAACAAGTACAATATGAACAGTGAATATAGCAATGAGCCTGACTTTGGCTTACGGAAGCACTTTCTGAATTATTTTTATGTTACCATAAGAGGGCGCTCTCAATCACAAAAGTATCATAGATACAAGCTGCAAAGCTTCTATCTAGAAACTACTGTGCTGTAAAAAGCTTCCAAGCTTATAATTTTAAAAAACTTTACAATTTCCCATCTCTTAATCTTCAGAAGAAAAAAATTCTTTTCAAGATTAAAAAAAATTCTTTTCAAGTTTAAAAAAAGAAAGTTGTACTAAAAGAAAGGGATACACATTAATCTCTCAACAAATCATTTAGGAAAATAATGCTTAAGGAACAGAATGAAGAAAGAAATCAAAGTAAATAAACTCTCCAGAGGTTATTATGATTCAAAGAAAAAAGATTTATAAGATAAAGTGATCGATGGTATTATTAAAAAGCATCTTGTGTTCTTCCAAAGAAATGTTATTTCAATTGAATAATTAAAAGGGATGATATTTTTGTCAATTTGTATTCCGAAAATTGTGCCAAATCAAAAGAAACAAATAAACGTATAACCTTTTCCATTTCCCTGCCCACAGCAGGGTGATGAATAGCTGATAAGCTTGTCCAAGTAGGCTGTCAAGAGATATACGAGAATTTATACAAAATACTACTTTGCATTTCCTGAAAGCAAAACAGATGGAAAATAGGCAAATATGTATTACAAGCACTTATGTAAAATGACAGAAAAACAATCATCTCCATGTTAAGTCCTATCATTAATGCCAGGATGGGAACAAGGGAAAAAGCCTGCATTACAGGTTACTTGCTCTGACTCACGCTTAAGAACATGGCCTCCACGTCAATGAAGCGTGAGCAGCGCAACACCTCAAGGGTTAAGAAAGTGAAAAGTCACACTTACTCCCCCTCTATCATCAATATCTAAGTCAGTCACTGTATCTTCCCTGGTGGCTCAGACGGTAAAGCGTCTGTCTACAATGCAGGTAGACCCGGGTTCCATCCCTGGGTCAGGAAGACTCCCTGGAGAAGGAAATGGCAACCCACTCCAGTATTCTTGCCTGGAAAATCCCATGGACAGAGGAGCCTGGAGTGCTATAGTCCATGGGGCCGCAAAGAGTCGGACTGAGTGACTTCACTTTCTTTCTTTCTTTCACTGTTATCTTGTTATTTTTCCACAAAAGAATGGCATATCTATATTTTCCTTTCCATTCTACTTACCAACCTCAGACCTAATTTATCAAAACCACCTTCTAACGATTCTCCCAGCTTTCTAGTTTCTTATCTCGCTAAATGATTTTGCTCACCATTACCAGCTTAACCATCCTTAAATCCTCACTAGCTCAAAAACCATCCACCAGTAACTCCTACTTTCCCATGTCATAAAATGTCACTTTCCTGCCTGGCTTTCACAAGTCTAATTTGGTCTCCCTAACCAATAGCGTTTTCTGTAATTCTCTATTTTGGAATTCCTACCTCCTTAACTTTCTTCAAGTTGTTTCTCAGTTGGAAGGCCCTCTCTGCCTATTTTGATCCACCCTCCACCATCCATCCCTCCTTCTCATCCCTAAAGGGCAGAGGGTTGAGCTAATCAATCATATTCTTCAATTCATGCCTTAATATCATAACCAATCCCTAAAATGTTCTTTTATCTCAACATATAATAAAGTTCCTGGAAAGGATAAAAGCATATACGAGGAAGAAATTACAAAAAAAAAAAAAAGAGTATTTGCAAGACCTAAGGGATATAAATATCCATATAGAAAGTGTTCATTACATAGGTAGCCCAAAGAAAGAAAAGAAACCCATAACCAGCCAAACAACAACATCCTTAAGTTTTCAGGGAATCAAAGATAAAGAAAATAGTCTAAGGCTTCTGAGGACAGAGAGAAAAGAGGCACCAAAGAGCAAAAATATGCTGGAAACTAGAAGTCACTGAGGCTGTAACAATTCAGAGGTGAAGTGTTCTTTTAACCCAGTAAGTCTATATTTAGTCAGCTTGAGGGCTGAATAAAGACATTTTTAAGATATCAGATGTCTCAAAAATTTCACCTCTCACCTTTTCACAGAAAGCTATTTTGAGGGCATACCCTACTCAAACAAGGAAGTTAAAGAAAGAAACAGAAAAACATGGGAGTTACGAAATCCAACACAGATGAGAGGCAATGAAGTCCCATGATGATGGCGAGGAAAGACCTCAGGGTGACAGAATGCAGCACACCCAGTGAAAAACCAGTCTACACTGAAGCCAAAACATGACAGACTCCCATATATCAGTATACTACATTACATAACATCTACTTTATTAATACATGCATAGAATTTACTCCAGAGAAAATTATATCAAGAGGATGTTTGATAGTGACAGGCACGAACTGAAAACTAAGGAAATAAAAACAAATCAATTATTTCAGAAAAGTAGAAGGTTGTAAAACAAAGCAAAAGTAATCACAGTATAGTATATTACTTGAAACAATAGGGAGCAAAACTCATTTAAACACTGCATACAACTAACACATATATATGGACTTTAGAAAGATGGTAACGATAACCCTATATGCAAAACAGAAAAAGAGACTCAGATGTATGGAACAGACTTGTGGACTCTGGGAGAAGGCGAGGGTGGGATGTTTCAGGAGAACAGCATTGAAACATGTATATTATCTAGGGTGAAACAGATCACCAGCCTAGGTTGGGTGCATGAGACAAGTGCTCGGGCCTGGTGCACTGGGAAGACCCAGAGGGATCGGGTGGAGAGGGAGGTGGGAGGGGGGACTGGGATGGGGAGTACATGTAAATCCATGGCTAATTCATATCAATGTATAAGAAAAACTACTGTAATGATGTAAAGTAATTAGCCTCCAACTAATAAAAATAAATAAATAAATAAATAAATAAACACTGCATACTGACTGAACCAAAAAACATTCCAATTAACTACAGTCGGAAGTTAGGGAGTAGGAAGGAGGAAGATAAGAGATTTAAATCCTTTTCTAAACATAACTAATATCGAAAAATCAGGAGAAAGCAGTATAGCCTGTGGCTAAGGAACAGCTTTACAAATGGAAAAATCTGAATGGGACACAGGAGCTGGAGGAGATGGAAGTAGATAACCAACAGTTTTAGCAATTCTTTTAAACTTTAAACAACAACAAAAAAATCATCTGTATTTATCACAAGGATATTTTTAAAAGTAGATTCACTATTTTAAAAACAAATCAAAATTAAGCAACAAAACAAGCTACTGGGATGTGACAAAGCAGGTACTCTCATAGTCACATATACTTTAGGAGTGACCTTAGGACAAAAAATACGGGTAATAAATTTTAATGTCTATCCAAAAAAAGAAACATTTTTACTCCAATATTTTATCCATACAAAGTAGATAATGAACTATAAGGTACAAAGAATAAGATGAAACATTCACATAGAACCTACCTTTCAGCTAAAAAATGAAATACCATTGCTTTCTGAAATTCCCATATGCCCCACCACTAATTATATCCCTCTCCTCTCCCAAAGAGATTAAATGGACATACTCTTATCTAGCAATCCGACTGTCAGAAATTCACCCTACAGACAGACTTGCAAAAGAACGCCCATAAGGGTCAGCTTCAAAAAATTAAAATTGTACTACTCAAACAGTCCAAATTTCTTCAACTATCCATATAGCATAGATACATTTATCAATTCCTGTTTCAATGTGTTTTTAATTCCCAAACATCCAAAGCAATTACTATGTGCTCAATTGTGAATAGCCAATTACAAATGAGAGGTGACTCTTGCCTTCTAGGAACTAATGGGAAATGATTATTTTTTTGGTCACACAACATGGTGTGTGGGATCTCAGTTACCCAACAAGGGATCAAACCCAGTAGTGGAAGCAAGGAACTCTAACCACTGCCATGGAATTTCCAGGAAATATTTTTAATAAATTATTACCAGGTGGCAGACATTCTATGGCAGACATTTCACAGTATCCCAGAAACACTGAGCCAGACCTAGATTATATTTGGGTAAATATGTGTGAGTTAGGGGTAGGAGAAGCAGGGTATCATCTAGAAAGATTTCTCAGGATATGAAAACTGAGCTAAATTACATAGAAACTATCAAGACAAAAGCATGGAGAAATCTTTGATGATTCAGCTTCCACAAAACAAAGTGAAAGGATTATCAGGGCAAAGTGCCTAGAACAGAGAATGTACTTACTAACCCATTAAGTAATGAGAAGTCATTAAAGAGCATGAGGCAAAGGAATGAGACGATCAAGGTGTGTGTTGTAGATCAATGACTCTGGAAACAGGGAGAACTTACGCTTCTGAGAGCCTGAAATAAGGCAGTGGCATTGAGGACAGAGAAGAAGAGACAAACTGGACACAATCATTGAAGAGAATCCAACCCATCTTCTCAGTATTTATTGAGCACCTACCATGTACCAGGCAGTTGGGTGCTGATATAAAAGAAAGATTCTTCTGTATCAAAAAATGCCTCCTATCAAAGTTGTAACAGACTAAACTAGAGAACTGACAGCATATTAGAACCTTTGTCTACCCTATATTTATTAAAATCTTCGGTGACTGCCTTACTTTGAATTAGCGAATAAACCTCTGTTTTATCCTACCACTGATGTAACAGAATCTGGTCACATCCTTTCTTGGCCTTTACCTTTCCTATCTTTACGAGGGCCTTTCGAGTTTGTTTAGTCTCTGTATGGTACCTCCTACCACCCTCCAATCACTTTAGTTGCCATTTATTTGTTAACAGGGCCTCGTTTCTCCTGCCTAAACCTAACTTTCCATTGCCAAGACTCCACTAGAGAAAAAAACGAGGAGAAAATATTCTAGTCACAGTAGCAAGACACAGTCCAATTCTTTTACTCCCCCTTCATTTTCTCCACCAAGCTATCTGAGTAGAACCCACTTCTAGGATACAGAGAGTAAGAGCATGGGCCTGGAAGGCGGGATGCCTGGCCACAGATTCTGGCTCAACTTACTAGTAGTGTGACCTTCAGCAAATTCCTTAACCTCATTGCTCCTTGATTTCTTCAATTGCTGAATGAGGATAATAATAGCATCTACTCATAGGGTTACATGAATATAGGTAAGTATAGGATTATGAATTAAAGCAGTCAAGTATTTAGCATGGTTCTCTTTCACATGGTAAATGTTCAATAAATATTAGCTAGTATTACTCCTTGTATTTTAGATGTTGTTAAGTGTTCTACTGCTTCAGGATACAGCTGATGGTAAGATTTTGCCACAGTCTATTAAATTGTAGACTTACCTTGGCACCAGCCAATTCCTTCATCATGAAGAGAGAATCATCAGCTCGTTCATCATCATCATCATCATAATTTGGGGAGGGAGCTCCCTCTGCTCCTTGCCTCAACAGACTGCCACTTCCTCTAGGATCAAAGGGATCAACCACAATGGGCTCAGTACCTTTAATTTCACATCGGCAGAAAGGACAGCCCTGGCCTTCTGATTCCTACAAAGGAAACAGGAGATGGTGACAGACACATCTGAAAGTTCTTAAAATATTCGTCCACTAAGAACACAGTACCTAAAAATGAAAAAAGCACCAGAAGTTTAGAACCTACCCCACAAACCAGACCATTCTTTATATCCATAAAGGATATACAATCCCCAATTCTTCACTGTGATTACTGAGCTGAGAAAAAGCACGGTTTGGATCCATACCTGCCAGGATGTTAGACAGGATGTGCACATGAGGTGGCCACAGGGCTCAATCTTCACATCTTTATCATTCTCAGCACATATTTTACACAGTTGGAATGTGGAGCCCATCTCACAGTATAATTCATATTGCTCCTTTGATTAAAAAAGAAAAAGAGATTATTCAGTCTGCTAAAATATTTGTTGAATGAATGAATGAATGACTGCAACTATATAGCTAAAAATAGGAAAACTGAAGATGGTTAATTATAATACTAATCTTTGCCTGGAAACAGAATGTCACAACAGTGAACAGGTAAAACAGAAAGCACCTAGTCTTGGTCCTATTTTAAGAAGCAGGGTTTAAAAAGAGACCACACACACGTAAATTCACTACTCTAGTCAATGGTTTAAAATTTTAAGTGTTCCAATCACTTAATATAATTCTGTCAGTTCTACAGAGTAATATACAGAAGCTTGGGTCTAACAATATGATTAAAATGAAAAACAAAACTCACCTGGGTCACTTTGATGTGGTCTTGAGGAGTTGGCTCACATAAGCCTGTCAGGTCGGGATTCTGATTCCGTCCATCAGGAAACAAATAGCTGTAAAAAGAGTAACCAATCTGAAGCCAATTTATCACTGCTTACTAGTACAGACAAATGTTATCTAGGAATTCTCTCACTCTAAAAGGGTAATTTAAGAGAAGTGCAAAGAGAAATTTTATTAGTACTTCAAAAAAATTAAATAACACAGATCAGTTCTAAGAAGATACTCTTCAAACACTGATATTCTTTATCCAGGGTCACAGGCTCTATTTTAATCAAGGGGTTGACAAGCTGTTCCTGTAAAGGGCCAGTTAGTAAATGTTTCAGGCTCTGCAAGCCACATAAGTCTGTGTCACATATTCTTCTTTAGGTTTTTTTTTAAAACAACATTCTGAAAAGGAAAAACTATCTTAGACACAGACTAAAAGACCTAGTCTGTGCACCACAATTTACCAACTATTTTTATCTGTGGATGACCACAGATTAAAGTGTGAATTCTCAATTTAAAAAAATGACACTTGCTTCAACCAAAGACCTTAAAACACCCTTGTTTACAGATTTAACACTAAGAGACACCAATTTGAAAGAAAAGTAACAAGAAGCAAATTAAGCCACTGAGATCAACTACCAGGAAGCTTCTAGCATCAAACTGCTCTGACATCTGGTAAAGTACCCCTTTCAGTTCCAACATTGCTGTAGAAAATGATGTGTAATGGAAAATGGATTTTCCTAATCACTTTAAAACACATGTAGTTTTCTCATACCTGGTCAACTGTTAGTATTTTTAGTGCTTACCAACTGATAATCAATTTGAATTCCCAAAGGAATAGGAATTCTGGAATAAACAGGAACTTAAGTCATAAATATTAGCAGAGATAACAAAAACCCATAGCCTGAAGAAATTCTGCTGAATTAAAATGAAGTTAGGATGAAGGCCACTGGGCCTGCTGCCATCAGGAACATCTAAGTCATCCTAACTGTGCCTAGTCAAATAACTGGTAACATTTTCTGCTAATTGGTATAGAAATATATATTTTAAACAATATTTACCTACTTATTTATTTGGCTGAGTCAGGTCTAACTACAGCCCATGAGGGAGCTTTCACTGTGGCACTGAAATCTTTAGCTGGAGCATGCGGACTTAGATGCTCTGCAGCATGTGGGATCTTAGTTCCCCAACCAGGGATCGAACCCGTGTCCCTTGCACTGCAAAGTGAATTCTTAACCACTGCACCACCAAGTGACACAGACTTATGTGGTTTGCAAAGACTGAAGAACTATTTACTATCTGGCCCTTCACAAAAAAAGCTTATCAACCCCTAGAGCCTGTGGCACTAGGCCCTGGAGAAAGAATATCAGTGTATGGAGGACAATACTGATGTTGTCAGTGTTGTAGTCGCTCACTCATGTCAAGACCCCTTGTGACTCTTTGGACTTTAGCCCACCAGGCACCTCAGTCCATGGGATTCTCCAGACAAGTGGGCTGCCATTTCCTTCTCCAGGAGATCTTCCCAACCCAGGGATCAAACCCGTGTCTCCTGTGTCTTCTGCACTGCAAGCAGATTCTCTACCTGCTGAGCTCTAGGGGAGGCCCCTGTGTTTGGAAAGTACTGTATATTTTAAAATCTAATATAGACCTGAAAATAAGTTAACATGTGGAAAAAAAGAAAGATAAAATCTACTCAGGGTAACAATGGAAATAGTAGAGGCAAAAATAATTTCACTCAAGGAATCCTTTTTAAATAAAAACAGAAGTCCTACAGAAGTTGAAAATTCAAACAATATATGTTGTTAATATGTTTCCTGAATCTTAACCTGTAGAGGAAACCTGGAATAAAGTCATTAATGATTCAGTTTCACAGTCCTAAGTTCCTAGACTCTAACAGATGATAAACAGTAGGTACTCACAAGCCTTCCCTGAAGCCATCAATCAGTGCTTGGAAGAGAGGTTTATTGTGAGGGATTGTCTGGAGAATGTTCCCATCAGCAGTGACATACCCAATAGCCCACTGACCCAGACGAGTACAGCTCAGCCGGAAAATGTAACTGAAAACAGAGAGAAATAAAACCTTGATTACATATGCTTGCAGTAGGGTGGAAGATGAGACAGAGACAAAAATCAAAAAGACCATCAATAATAGATTTTTCAATGACTTCACATCAAAAGTAAAAGACACAAAAGCTTAATTCTTAAGTGGCTTGAAAGCATTTATCAAATCATAGTATCTGAATAAGTCAATTCCTCTGATAAACAGACAATCCTATCACAGAAATGTGGCCACTGGAGAACTAGTAAAAGATCATGTTTCCTCCTTTTCAGCAAAGGTCACAGAATAAAATTCAGGTGAATAAACTTCTTTGCTTCATTCCACTGACCTGCCAGGTTTGTGAATGAATTTCTGGAGTCGCGCTTTCACTTCATCATATGTCAGGAAAGCCATGTAACCAGGATGAGTTACAGCAAGGCTATTCCAGTTCCTGAGCAAAGAGGACCAAGGCTAAGGAAACAAGAGATTCAATCAGACCATCTGGCTCCAAACATACAATCGGCCTCAGAGGTTAAACAGACAAAAACAGAGAAAACAGGGCAAGGCCTGATGTGCAAGTAAGTTCCAAATAAAGGTTTATGCAAGGTAGCATATACACACATCATTTTTAGAAAAGGAAAGAAGTTGCAAACCATCAATGCATCTCAATATTAGTCAAGAATTTTAATACCACACGAGAAAAAGCTGGAAACATACATAAATGTCCAGTAACTGAACCCAGGAAGTATATTATACCCACTTTTAGGGTAAAATACAACCATTAAAATGATGCAAAGAAAAAAAAATGATGTAAAAAAGAATATTTAATAAAAAAAGAAAGATTATAAATATGAGGGAAATAAGCAGATTATATAGTTACTTTTTACAAGAATCTATATAAATATAAAATACAGAGTAGTTTTAACCTTTTTTTAAACTATAGTTTCTAGAATAAAAATACTTTTATAAAAGGCAAACTCCCAAATGTCCAAATGTTTTTTCAAAAGGTTTCCCTTCAGAAAAGTGGCAATAATTAGTTCAGCCAACATTTTAGCATCCTACCTGAAAGAGTCTTGTAAAGATGTCGAATTCAAAAACTGATATATAATCATTGCAGGTCAGATCAATAGTGGATTTCAGAGCCATGGCTTCCAGCCCAGAACTGATGGGATGTACTTCATGAAGGGCCTGTCTGAAGCTCTTCCAAGGGACTATTGTCCTAGGATGCGGGTGGGGGTGGGAGAGAAGGCACAGAATAAGATAGCAGATAACTCCAGGCACTACTACAGTCAAGGAAAACACAGTCTCTTTAAATTCTCAAAATCCACTTTAATTTTCTTAGAGAAACTGAATTATATTTTACATTGATAATAGAAAGGGTATAAATGATATGTTTCTTAACTTGCTAATGAGTAAATTAATAATAGAGACATCTTTTCCCACTTTTCTTTGGCAGAATGCCACAAGTTAATTCCCTTTCTCACCTTCAGATATTTGTTGTATTAGAGAAGCATGAAAAGAGATGAGATTATCCTTTTAGTATTAGAGATGTAACCTGTGGCCAGATCTTCATTCACATAGTGTGTTTAAATTAACCTTTTAAAAGCACATAAAACACTCTGATTCTTTTGAGGAACCCACACTATCAAGGACTAAACTTGAGGAATATAAAGCTTAAGGTACAGGAAGAAAAGAGTTCTGATACAGATGAAGAAGAAATTAACAAAGTTAAATGCCTATCCTCTTCAACTAGGTTTTTTAAAATCGCTAATTATTCTATATCTGATGTTTAAACACAACTTTTTAAAATAAAGCAAACATTTAACATACATCAAATCAAGACGCAGTATATACCTGAGACTAACTTAACAGTTTGCATCAACTATATTGCAATAAAAAAAAAAAGCATTCAAAGAGAGGCTTACATTAGGATCTGTATATTCAACTGAAAATTTTTATTGCTTTCTACTTTTTCAGTTCTGTGATTTAAAATTTCAGAGTATATTCAAGAACATTTATATTAATACTTAGAAACAAAAACTTGACTTAAATCATGGGCTTCCCTGGTGGCTCAGTGGTAAAGAATCCACCTGCTAATGCAGGAGACATGGGTTCAATCCTTGCTCCTGAGTCCCTGCGCCACAACTACTGAGCCTGTGCTCTAGAGCCCAGGAACCTGAACTTCTGAAGCCCTCATGTCCTAGAGCCTGTGCTCCACAACAAGAGAAGCCATTGCGATGAGAAGCCTATGCCACCACAATTAGAGAGTAGCCCCTGCTTGCAGCAACTAGAGAAAAGCCTGTGCAACAGCAAAGACACAGCACAGCCAAATAAAAAATCTTTTTTTAAAAAAAGAACAATATAGCAAAGTGGAAACACAAGCCACAGACTAGGAGAAGACATCTCTAATGTTAGTGACTAACAAAGAATTAGTATCCTACAACAGGAAAAAGACAAGTCTATAGGAAAATAGACAAGTCAGGAATAGAAACAGCCAAGTCAGAAAAAGAATCTAGACAGGTGACAAATGTGAAAAGGTGCTCAAGCTCCCTTGTCATTAGGAATATAAAGCAAAATATGATACCAATTCATATTACCAGTGTTAGCCAAATTGCAGAACTACTGGAACACGTGCATACTACTTACAGGAACAGAAACTGGTACAACCACTTTGGAAAGCAGTTAGGCAATGTTTGGCAAAGCAGAAGATGTGAAATCCCCTGACTCAGCAATCCCACTCCTAAGTATTTAAGTATTGAGAAACTCCTGCATATGAAGGTAAATACAATTTTGTTTTCTGCAGCACTGTTTGCAATAGCAAATAATTTGAAATGTATGTGTTCATTAACAGCATAATGGATGACGAAAAAAAGAGAACAGCATGGGTTTCAACAGAATTGCAAAGGTCTATCTACTTCTTTAAGAAAAAAAAAAAAAACATGATCAGAGCAAAAAAAAGAAAAACTAGGTTAATATTTACCAAAGTTGGGAGTAGTTACGCATATATTCATTATTTTTCTGTTTCAAACTAAACAAAAACCCAAAACACAAGCTTCAGTTCTTCATAGTTCAAATTCATTATTTTGACACTTACTTTTCCCCAAAAGCTTTCCTCCAAAATTCTGCAGCATCTGCTTTAGTAATCCGAAACGTGTCTCCTTGAAAGAGTCCACTTGGGAAGATTCCTTTTAGTTCTGCTAGCATGTGGCTGAAGATCAGGGACAGTTTGGTCAGGTTTCGCCTAAAAACGATCAGAAATGCAATGGTTAAATGAGCACATAAAATTATTTTTATTTTAATTGTGCTGAATCCACTACACCAGGTTTGTGATTATAATGCAATTAAGACTGTTGCATTCACTAAAGTCCACTCCTTTCCCTCCATTCAGATAGGCATTAACAGGTAAATAAGAAAAAAAGAATTTTAACAGTAATCTATTTCAAGACCTTTAATCTTAAATTAATCAAGCCTAATAACTGAGCATAAACTTCTATGAACAAATCTACCTTTTTTAGGCTGATAGGTAAAAGAGGACTCAACCAAAAAGTGTAAGAAGTTGTACACTGCTATAACCATTCACTCACAAAAGAGATGTTAGAAAAGCAAAATATATTATTTCCTGCTTTGCATAAACTAATCTGGATGTTTAAATTATCCCAACTCATCTAAATTAAAAATCCTCAATAAAGAGGACTATTTAAATATCCAGAACAAATATTTTCACTAATCAGACATAAAAGAGAAGTTTTCCTCTTTGAGGAACTTCTTTTTCTTTATCAAAAACTAAAAGCTAAAATCCAAACCATGTAAAAATTTCTAAATAAGTGCACACGCTACTACTATATTTTAACAAGTTAGCTTTAGCCTGACAACCTCTGTTTAATGGTTGTGGTTATAAAGTACCAGTTCAACACACCAGATGATGTCTCTACTTTCAGGTGTGTACTTAAATCAGATTATCTTGGTAATCTTTAACGGTACTGCTACAGAATAAGATACAGATGTCTTAGATATTGCTATTCACCAAATCAGCTACTATTACAGTTGCCTATTTTCCCTTGCCTCAATAATTAGTATTTATATATTAAAAAGTCAATTCTTGTCATACAAGTAGACAATAAAATTTCAAGTCAATCCATGATCAATTTTATTGCCTCAAAATTCTCTTTAACACAGATTTTTCTTTCCACCATTGGTCCCATCTTTGTCCTTCCTGGATAAAATGCTGCACCAAGTCCCTGCAGCCCTAACTTTTCTGCAAAATACTTTTGAAATCTTTCTAATCAGCTTTTCATCAAATCAGCTTCAGTTTTCTGGTATCTGTCTTCTAGCACTTGTATCAAGTTTTACTCTTTCTAGTTTTCCTATTTCTGAAAGCACCGAAAAAGTGATAAAATCAATATTCATTGAAGTCAGTCTAAAATAATTCATATGCCAAATAGCTCAAGTAAGTTGAAAGTTCAAGTAAGTAAGTTGAAAAACACAATCACTTATCCAATCCCTAAACTCTAGTAATTGTTTTCCTCTTGGTACTTTGAGAGCCTTCAATTGTTGCTGGTTAGGACAGTTACTATTTTAGTAAACAGGAAACACACACAGAGACTATTGAGATATATATATCACAGATAATATGATTGAAAATCTGCAAAGCACAAATTATTCCCAATGATTTCCACAAGTTTTCAGCAGGACACCAGACTGCACAATGCACTAAACCTTAATATTTATGTAACATTTTGCCAAATGTTAATCTTTAAAGATAAGCAAGAGAGAGTCCTGATTCTCTTAAGATGTGCTAAATTAGCTGAGAACTATGTGTAAAGAACTATGCTAAACAGTACAGCAGAGTAACATATATGATAGAAAATACACATATTACAAAGTTACACCAAAGATCTTTTTGGAAGAACAGTTTGAATCCTATGTCCTCCTGAAAATGTCTTTCCTTAGTTTCTCCAGTGTCATCCTCTCTTGGTTCTCCTACTTGCTTTTGTTCTTCCTTTGGTTTTACTTTCTATCCTCCAAAAATAGCTATTTCCCAAGAATCTGCTCTGAACTGAAGAATCTGCTCTCCATTTCCTTTCTTTCTCCATGCACTCTCTAGACTCTTTCTTTGCTAACTCAAGGATTCAAAAACTGCTTTGCAAGAGATTCCCAAATCTTAGGCCTTGGTAGCTTTCCAACTGTCTACTGTATTTCTGCAGTCAAATGCTAGCACCTCAAAGCAACATTCTCAGACTTAAACTAACCTTCCTTGAGTGAGGTGTTAATAAATTTGGAATTTGAGATTAACAGATATATACAGTTCAGTTCAGTCGCTTAGTCGTGTCCGACTCTTTGCGACCCACAGACTGAAGCATGCCAGGCCTCCCTGTCCATCACCAACTCCCAGAGCCTACCCAAACCCATGTCCGTTGAGTCGGTGATGCCATTCAACCATCTCATCCTCTGTCGTCCCCTTCTCCTCCTGCCCTCAATCTTTCCCAGCATCAGGGTCTTTTCCAATGAGTCAGCTCTTCGCATCAGCTGGCCAAAGTATTGGAGTTTCAGCTTCAACATCAGTCCCTCCAATGAACACCTAGGGCTGATCTCCTTTAGGATGGACTGGGTTTGATCTCCTTGCAGTCCAAGGGACTCTCAAGAGTCTTCTCCAACACCACAGTTCAAAAGCATCAATTCTTTGGCACTCAGCTTTCTTTATAGTCCAACTCTCACATCCATACATGACTACTGGAAAAACCATAGCTTTGACTAGATGGACCTTTGTTGGCAAAGTAATGTCTCTGCTTTTTAATATGCTGTCTAGGTTGGTCATAACTTTCCTTCCAAGGAGTAAGCATCTTTTGATTTCATGGCTGCAATCACCATCTGCAATACTACACACAAAATAAACAGCAAGGACCTACTGTACAACAGAGCTATATTCAGTATCTTGCAATAACCTATATGGAAAATAATCTCAAAAAGAATATATGTGTAAAACTGAACCACTTTGCTGTACCCTTGAAACATTATAAATCAGCTATACTTCAATCAAAAAACTTGTCTTCAGTCTATTCCTATACTGTTCAATCACACCACATATAACTAGTTACCTTTTAAGGGGAGGAGGGCACAATTTCAATAGTACCAATGAGACAAAATGCAGCTCAGCTTTGATTTTTAGACTTTCCACTAACCTGGGTCTAACCTACCTTTATAACTAATTTCACTAGCATATTCCTGCCAAACTGAATATTTTCAGTTCAGTTCAGTTGCTCAGTCATGTCCGACTCTTTGCGACTCCACTGACTGTAGCACATCAGGCTTCCCTGTCCGTCACCAACTCCCGGAGCTTGCTCAAACAGATGTCCATTGAGCCAGTGATGCCATCCAACCATCTCATTCTCTGGCATCCCCTTCTCCTCCTGCCTTCAATCTTTCCCAGCATCAGGGTCTTTCCAGTGAGTCAGTTCTTCACATCAGGTGACCCCAAAGTATTGGAGTTTCAGCTTCAACACCAGTCCTTCTAATGAATATTCAGGACTGATTTCCTTTAGGATTGACTGGTTTGATCTCCTTGCAGTCCAAGGGACTCTCAAGAGTCTTCTCCAACACCACAGTTCAAAAGCATCAATTCTTCAGCGCTCAGCTTTCTTTATAGTCCAACTCTCACATCCATACATGATCACTGGAAAAACCATAGCTTTGACTAAACGAACCCTTGCTGGCAAAGTAATGTCTCTGGTTTTAGTATGCTGTCTAGGTTGGTCATAGCTTTTCTTCCAAGGAGCACACATCTTTTGATTTCATGGCTCCAGTCATCATCTGCAGTGATTTTGGAGCCCCCCAAAATAAAGTCTGTCACTGTTTCCATTGCTTCCCCATCTATTTGCAATGAAGTGATGGAACCAGATGCCATGATCTTAAGTTTTCTGAATGTTGAGTTTTAAGCCAGCTTTTTCACTCTCTTCTTTCACTCTCATCAAGAGGCTCTTTAGTTCTTCTTCGCTTTCAGCCATAAGGGTGGTGTCATCTTCATATCTGAGGTTGTTGATATTTCTCCCGGCAATCGTGAATCCAGCCTGTGCTTCATCCAGCCTGACATTTTGCATGATGTACTCTGCATGTAAGTTAAATTAGCAGGGTGACAATATACAGCCTTGATGTACTCCCTTCCCGATTCTGAACCAATCTGTTGTTCCATGTCCAGTTCTAACTGTTGCTTCTTGACTTGCATACAGATTTCTCAGGAGGCAGATCTCTGGTTCCTCTGCCTTTTCTAAAACCAGCTTGAACATCTGGAAGTTCACGGTTCACATTCTGTTGAAGTCTGGCTTGGAGAATTTTGAGCATTACTTCGCTAGCGTGTGCTGCTGCTGCTAAGTTGCTTCAGTCATGTCTGACTCTGTGCGACCCCATAGACGGCAGCCCACCAGGCTCCCTCATCCCTGGGATTCTCAAGGCAAGAACACTGGAGTGGGTTGCCATTTCCTTCTCCAATGCATGAAAAGTGAAAGTGAAGTCACTCAGTCGTATCCAACCCTTCGAGACCCCAGGGACTGCAGCCCACCAGGCTCCTCCATCCATGGGATTTTCCAAGCAAGAGTACTGGAGTGGGTTGCCATTGCCTTCTCCATCGCTAGCGTGTGAGATGAGTGCAATTGTGCAGTAGTTTGAGCATTCTTTGACATTGCCTTTCTTTGGAACTGGAATGAAAACTGACCTTTTCCAGTCCTGCCACTGCTGAGTTTTCCAAATTTGCTGGCATAACAAGTGCAGCACTTTAACAGCATCATCTTTTAGGATTTGAAACAGCTCAACTGAAATTCCATCAACTCCACTAGCTTTGTTTGTAGTGATGCTTCCTAAGGCCTTCTTGACTTCACATTACAGTACGTCTGGCTCTAGGTGAGTGATCACTCCATCGTGGTTATCTGGGCCATGAAGATCTTTTTTATATAGTTCTTCTGTGTATTGTTGGCACCTCTTCTTAATATCTTCTGCTTCTGGTCTGGACCAGAAATGGTCCATACCATTTCTATCCATTATTGTGCCTATCTTTGCATGAAATGTTCCCTTGGTATTTTTAATAGATTTTCTTGAGGAGATCTGTAGTCTTTCCCATTCTATTGTTTTCCTCTATTTCTTTGCACTGATCCCTAAGGAAGGCTTTCTTATCTCTCCTTGCTACTCTTTGGAACTCTGCATTCAAATGGGTATGTCTTTCCTTTTCTCCTTTGCCTTTAGCTTCTCTTCTTT